TCTTTTTTGACATATCATATAATAGAATAATTTAAACTTTCTGATTCAGCTATAATTTGGGGAAAACGTTTTTAAGTAGATTCCTTGAACAAATCTGAATGGAAGGATTACTTTACCAGGTTGTTGAAATTTAACGCTTAAAAATCAAATTTTCATGAAAATATGGAAACCTAAAAATGAGATATGTGATTGTATACATTATCAGAATCACACTTAACAAGAACCCAAGTGAAAAAGAAACATTTATATTTTTAGCATAAAGTGGAAGTATTCCAACTTGCATTGACTGGAAATAACGGAAGTACTCCAGGATTCTATTAATACGTTATATTTCAAAAATATTAAGTGTTGAGGAAACTTAGTAAAAGAAAATTGGTAGTCCAAAGAATGTTACACTTACCTTTTCCTGGGTAACTGACCTAATTGTAATTACTGAGAATTACTGGTAATACTTTTGGAAGCCCATCAAAATATAGGGAAAAAATTCTGCCTAAGAAATAACTGGCTACTGTACTTTCATGAGCATAAATATTTATACTGTAAGGATAAGATGTTTGCTAGGCATAAAATAAAATAATATATTTTAAATTGGGAAGAAATATATAGGTAGCTGTGAGAAAAGATCAAACGCAAAATTGAGTTTTCTTGAATTACAAGAATCACAAGTAAACGTAACTGAATATTATCAAATCATTACCATGTTCTTATTTTTTTAAGCTTTTTTCTCTGCCAGGCACAGTGTCAGGCAACTGTAGTCTCAGCTACTCTGGAGATTGAGGTGGGAGGATTGCCACCGCCCAAGAGTTAGAGTCCAGCCTGGGCAACATAGTGAGACTTTAATCTCAATTTTTTTTTTTTTTTTTAATAAAAAGCATTTTCTCATGCATTTTCCTCAAAATTTATAGTTAATGGATTAAAGAAAAAGCCTTATATACTCAAGATATTGATGTCCCAAGAAACACCACAGGAAAAAAATTTATTCTTCAATTAAAATATCTCAATGACAGCAGTATCATAATACCCACTTCTCACGTGTGTGTGTGTGTGTGTGTGTGTGTATAAAGAATGTCTCTGGGTGGGGCGCAGTGGCTCACACCTGTAATCCCAGCAGCACTTTGGGAGGCCAAGGCGGGCAGATCACGAGGTCAGGAGATAGAGACCATCCTGGCTAACATGGTGAAACCACGTCTCTACTAAAAATACAAAAAATTAGTAGGGTGTGGTGGCGGGCGCCTGTAGTCCCAGCTACTCAGGAGGCTGAGGCAGGAGAATGGCCAAAACCTGGGAGACGGAGCTTGCAGTGAGCCACTACACTCCAGCCTGGACCACAGAGCGAGACTGCGTCCGAAAAAAAAAAAAGTATCAGGTAAAAATGGTCAAAATACATGAAAGCTAATAATGAAGTTACTTGCCCACACAGAAAGGAGTAGGAAATATTAAGAGTGAGCAAACAAACCTGAAGCAATAGTAGATATAATATGTTTAAGATTTTCTTGCCAAAATATTGGTTTGAAAATTAAACCACACCCATTTGTAAAAGAAAGACATTCATTGGAACTCAGGTGAGTAGGAGCAACAGAGTTAGAGCTTATCTTGTTATTCTCTTCAGTGAAGCTTGCTACCAGAGAAACTTCATTAGAAAGATCTTGTGGGGGGACTGTTTCTGGTGTCACTGTGAGAAAATTATTATTATTATTGTTTTTTGAGATGGAGTCTCGCTTTGTCGCCCAGGCTGGAGTGCAGTGGTGTGATCTGGGTTCACTGCAAGCTCCGCCTCCCGGAACTACAGGCGCCTGCCACCTCCCCCGGCTAGTTTTTTGTATTTTTTTAAGTAGAGACGGGGTTTCACCGTGTTAGCCAGGATGGTCTCGATCTCCTGACCTCGTGATCCGCCCGTCTCAGCCTCCCAAAGTGCTGGGATTACAGACTTGAGCCACCGCGCCCGGCACGGTGAGAAAATTAAATCTTCTTTTTCTAGAATCCAAGGGAACATACAGATTGCAGGAATAAAGCAAAGTTCCCTCATTGTAGTTGGGAGAAACCCCGGTCGAGTCTCAGAACACAGGCCAGGGTGAAACGAACCCCAGGCAGAGGGGCTGGACAAGGCGACCGCCAAAATCACTGCGAGGAAGAAGAGCATAGAAATCAAGGCCAAGGCCACGACCAAGTAAATCTGCAGCTTTGCCTGGGAATTAGAGGCCACAGGACGGTCAATGAAGTCTGGCAGTGCCTCCTGCAGGCTGTCTGCGAAGACTAGGTGAAGTGTAGCGGTGGCAGAGAGGGGCAGCTGTCCTCCGTCATGCACAGCAACCAGCAGGCGCTGTCGGGCCGAGTCACTGTAGCCCAAGGCACGCGCAGTGCGCACTTCGCCCGTGGGCAGCCCCAGGCTAAAGAGCCCGGGCTGGATGGCCTGCAGCACGTGGTAGGACAGCCAATCTTCGTGTCCCGAATCTGCGTCCAACGCCACCACCTTAGTCACCAGGTAGCCAGACTCTGCGGCGCCTGGCACCATATCGAAGAGTGCGGAGCCATCGGACCCCAGCGCGGGGTACAGCACCTGCCGCACATTGTCATTGAGGTCGCCCACCAACACGCGCAGGCTTACGTTGGCACTGAGCGCAGGCGAGCCCTGGTGGGCCTGCAGCTTGAACTCCAAGGCGCGCAGCTGCTCGAAGGCGCGCAGTTGCTCATGTTCGAAGGCGCGCTGTGCGAACACCACCCCACTCTGTGCACTCACGGACACTTACGACGACGGTGCCCGCAGCTCCAAGTCACTGGTAACAATGGAGCAGGAGACTTGGCCATTCAGCCCTAGGTCCAGGTCAGAGGCGCTGACTTGTGTGATGGAGGCTCCGAGAGGGTTGTTTTCGGCCACGTGGACCCCGTAGGAGACCTGGTGGAAAACCGGAGCACTGTCGTTGACGTCACCAATGCATAGGGTGACGCTTGTGCTGGATGAGAGCGGAGGCTTGCCCCTGTCAGTGGCAGTGATGGTGACCTTGTACTCCGGGGTCCCAATCCAGGGTCCCATCTGTTACAAGCTTATAGTCATTATTGGCGGAAGATTCGATTCTAAAAGGAATTCTTTCGTTTATGAGGCATGTAACCTCCCCATTTTCTCCCGAATCTTTATCATGTGTTTTGAACAGAATGATCGTCGTCCAGGGTTCTGCAACCTCAGTTACAGAACTGGACACGGAAGTAAAAACCACGTCTGGGGCGTTGTGGTTCTCATCTAGGATTTCTAGCATAATTTTACATTCGCTGGTCATGCCTCCACCATCCTTCGCCTCTATGCTCATGGTGTAACTGCTATAAATTTTGAAGTCTATTAAGTCTTTGGATTTAATTTCCTCATTTTGATGGTCTAGCACAAACATATTTCCAATATCATCTGGTAGGGATTTGAAAGAGTAGGTGATCTCTGCATTGACATCCTCATCCTGGTCAGTGGCTGTCACCTTCAGTAAACGGGTGCCTGGGGGCACATTCTCTCTAAGGCTGACTTTGTATACATCCTGGCTAAAAACTGGGGCATTATCGTTGCCATCAGTGACCTCAATTTGAATTGCAGCAGTGCCAGTTAGGACTGGATCACCCCCATCTACTGCTTTCAGGACCAGGAGATGAGAGCTCTATCCTTCCTGGTCCAGGGGCTTCTCCAGCACTAATTCTGGAGCATTCTTGCCTTCAGTCTTGTCCATCATCAGAGAGAAATGTTCATTAGAGCTGAGCTGGTAACTCTGGAGACAGTGAGCCCTACATCTGCATCTATAGCAGATTCCAGGCCAAACCGAGTGCCTGGAATTGCTAGCTCATTGATTTGTGAAACAATGCTATTTTGGGGAAAATAAGGTGGATTATCATTTATATCTTCTATCATCACATTTATGTGAAAAACATTTAGAGGATTCTCTGGTACAATCTCTGAGGGTATGACACAGGATTTTGAGGACAGAGTGACTCTCGATCTATTCTGTCACTCACAAGAATGTTCCCATTCTCCGTGTTCACGGTAAAGTACTGTTCCTCTGTACTAACTCTAAGGTTTCGGGTCAATAAATCTTGAACATGCAGCCCCATGTCCTCAGCAACGTTCCCCACCACCGAGCCCCGGACCATTTCTTCTGGATTAGAGTAGTGGATCTGCTCCGAGGGCATCCTGCAGAACAAAGGCAGCAGGAAAGGGAAGAGTATTTGCCGCCGCCGGGTCCTGCTTCTCTGCTTCACCCTGTTTCCCATCCTTCCCGTGCGTTGCTGCAGTCTCGGACGTTAAGAGAAAATGTTTCACAAAGTGCTTTTAAAATATTTACTTCCACACATAGAAAACCCAATGCTCCCAGTTTGAAGGCACCCCAATCCGTAAGGAATCAGATTTGAGGGAGCAGAAAGCCCAAGTCTTGGCCACTTTCCTTTCCGACTTTCTTCTGTGACTGAGCACAATATAGTCCTGGTAGATCCGAGGCTCCAGCTCTTGCAGCACATTGGCCAACAGCGGGGCTCTGAGTCTATTTAGAAAACTGCACCGGGAAGACTTTGCTAATTCAATAGGATTCAGAATTTAGACTGATGTGTTGGACTAATGTATAGGAAACTAGACACTTTAAGAGTTTTGGTAGTGACTATTTTCCAGTGTTTACTACCAAAGAAGATTCCTTAGAGATGGGATCCTATAGAACAGTCATTAACCCAGTAAAGAGAAGTGAAACGTTTTTTTCTTTTTTCTTTTTTTCTTTTCTTTTCTTCTTCTTTTTTTTTTTTTTTTTTTTTTTTTTTTTTTTTTTTTGAGATGGAGTCTCACTCTTTCGCCCAGGCTGGAGTGCAGTGACACGATCTCTGCTCACTGCAAGCTCTGCCTCCCAGGTTCAGGCCATTCTCCTGCCTCAGTTTCCCCAGTAGCTGGGACTACAGGCGCCCGCCACCACGCCCGGTTAATTTTTTGTATTTTTAGTAGAGACGGGGTTTCACCATGTTAGGCAGGATGGTCTCTATCTCCTGACCTCGTGATCCACCCACCTCAGCCTCCCAAAGTGATGGGATTACAGGTGTGAACCACCGCGCCGGCCTAAGTTTCTTTTTTTCTAAGCAGAAGCAATGCACATATTGGAACAACTAGGCAAAGTCTTCTCTCCTGATGTACGACAAAAACAATGTGGGAAAACATCCCCACCAAGTGGTATGGGAAAATTTTGACCACTATGAAATGATATGCAGTATTATTTTCAATCTGATGTGCAGATAATTTTCCTCTTAGTTTTATCAGAGAAAACTGGAGGAGCACTGAAAGCTATATAGGGCATATTCAGAATAAAGATAGCCAAACCTTTCTTATCACTTATAAAAGAGGTTTCTGAAAAGGATTATTAAGTGTTTTACACTTTAATCATAAAGAGAATATAAAGGTATAGCCTAGTAGGTAGCCTTAGGAATTTAATAACATGAAATGTGAGGGTGTTTTATTTTTATCCTCTATTTAATGGGACTATATGTTATACCTTAACAGAACTTTATCACTACCTCCAAATCAACATAACCATCTTAATATCACATTTCAAAGCCAACCCTTACTTTTTGTTCTCCAAGGTCTTGGGTGCAAGCTTCCAGTTAGTTTAGATGAGGTTTTATAATATGGAACAATCTCCTTTTCCCAGCCAAATACCTCATATCCTTTTTATTTAGTTCCAGTCAAAGTACAATGCCTTACATCCATTTTCTCAGTTTGGAATTCCACAAGTATAAATCCTATCTCTAGATGCTTAAAATACCCCAACATTTTTCTTGACTTCAAGACGAATGTAGGCATCTGTTGGAAGACTTGCCTTTCCTACAGTTGAAATTATTTTTTGTGCAAGCCCTAGATAGTCAGTTTACAACTAATGACATAAGGTAAATTTCTAAATGAGAAAAATAAACTTGAAAGGGAACATAAATAAGCAAGTAATTTGGGGCAAATACCTAGAAGTGATGCGAGAGTGTTAAGTGAATTGATGATGGAAATTATTCCTGTAATCAAAAACCCTAGATAAGTCTCCATTCCTCATTTGACTTTCCTAGACATTGCTTCAGATAACATGTATGTCAGGCAATTATCAAGCTTCAGTAACAAGTTGGTCTGAATAAAAGAACTGAATGTACTATTTGCCATAAGAAAGACCTTATAAAGGAAAGAAAGAAGGAATCTATGACTCCCAAGTACACTGAAAAGGAACAAAAAATAGCCAGAAGGATACTAGCTAAATCAGTTTCATTAAAGTCCAAATACCTTCAATCTATTTATATATTCACAAACTATTCTATTTGAATAAATCTATAGACATCTTTAGCATATTTGAAAATAGCTTTTTGAGAAGTACTGAATCAAAATCAAGTCATTTCTATATATGGATTTGCTACATTAAAAAGCCTTCCATACATACAAACGCAGACACCAAAGTAAAAGAATAAAAGGAAATAATACCAGTTCAATAATTCAATTATTTCCTCAGACCAGTCAATGTAACTTCACCATAGTAATGGAAAAGATATCTAGAGCTTAAGAAAAAATGTCATCTAAATTTTATCTCCCAAGGAAATCCAGTAGTTAAAAGCCAGTAAATATGTCTGTGTTGATAGGATGAAGAAATGAGACAAAGTTGGAATAGTCAACAGGATCTAAACATATTACCAGCCAACAAGAATCAAAATAAAATTGCTCAGAGAAAAGCTTACATGTGTAAGTGTGTGTGCATGTGTATAGATAGATAGATGAGAAAGAGAGCTAGAGGGAGCATGCTATTAAATTGACAGGATCTAAATTTGAACATTAGCAGTAATAGCAAATAATGGTGGAATATAACTACAAATCAGTGAAGGCACTGCAAAATTGAAATGGAAATAAAAAGTGTTTGTGAATCATTAATTTGTATCTATATATAGTAAATTGATAGCCTCATACACTGATTATAGAAAAATAATACTAAAATTCAACTTACTACAAACCAAGCCAGCATAGTTGAATGGCCCCTTTGAAATCAAAAGAAAATATGCCAGGATTGAAAAATGACTTTCACAAAAACGTTCTGAAAGATTATGGTAATCTCATGAAAGGCAAAGTAAAACTCACATGTATTGCTCTAAATATAAATGAACTAAATATATGCCGCCCCCCCAAACAATTTTCATAATAGGCTCAATAAACATCTCCTTAAAAGACTTGTGCCAAGACACCAACAATTAGGAGGCAGAGAAATAAATCTCACCTGATTACTTGTCGGGTCACATTTGCCTAAAATGATAGCTGAGTCTTCAGCTATCAAGAGTGGTTCGCTTTTCTCACAGCTCTCCTGGCTGATGAGCGTGTCCCCATAGTTGGGCTGGGGGAAAATCAGGTGACTCTTCTGCGAGTCCGCAATGAGAGAGACCTCGTGGGAATAGGTCTGCAGGAAAGCCTGCACCCCGTCCATGCCTACGAAGTGTGAGGTGGGCATACCTGCCAGCCCGCCTTCAGAAGCCTGTAGCAGGCGTGACTTATGCCAGCGCCACAGCCTGAGTGCCAGCAGCACGATGACAAATACCAGGAAGATGCAGGAGACTGCGGCCACCGCCACCACCAAGTACAGCGTGAGGTCTGAGGTTTCAGAGTTAGCTAGAGACTCGAGGCTGACGAGGTCCGCCAGGACTTCGGGGATGCTGTCGGCCACAGCCACGGTGAGCGTGACGGTGGCCGAGAGAGGGGGCTGGCCGTGGTCCTGGACGGCCACCACGAGGCTCTGCTTGAGCGCGTCTCTGTCCAGCAGAGCCCGCACCGTGCGCACCTCGCCCGTGTGCTCCCCTACCGCGAAAAGTCCCGGCTCGCTGGCCTTGAGCAGGCGGTAGGACAGCCAGGCGTTCTGGCCTGAATCTTTGTCCACCGCAACCACTTTGGTCACCAGGTAGCCAGGTTCTGCAGAGCGGGGCGCCAGCTCCACGCCAGTGGAACCGTCTGTGGGGAGGGCGGGGTACAGGATCTCAGGCGCATTGTCGTTCTGATCCAGCACGAACAGGCTCAGCGACACATTGCTGCTGAGGGGCGGGTCCCCGCTGTCACGTGCTATCACTCTCAGTTGTAAGTCTCGAAACTGCTCATAGTCGAAAGATTGTAGGGCATAGAGAACACCAGTGTTGGAGTTAATAGAGACATAAGAGGATAGAGGCACCCCCTGGACAGTGTCATCCGTCAGAGAGTAAGTGACCAGGGCATTCTGTTTGCTGTCCGGGTCGAGGGCAGTCACTGAGAAGATGGAGGCACCCCTGGGGTTGTTTTCGGGAATATAGGCAAAGTAAGAGGAGTGAGGAAAAACAGGAGGGTTATCGTTGTCATCTACCACATTCAGCCAGATATGAGTTTCTGAAGACAGAGGCGGGCTTCCCTGGTCTGTGGCTGTCAACGTTATATTGTAGCTCTGGACCAACTCCCTGTCCAGCACTCTGCTTGTTATCAATTTGTAATAATTTCCATAAGTCTTTTCTAATTTAAAAGGCAAGTGGTTAGGAATAAAACAGGAGACTTGACCATTTTCTCCAGAATCTTGATCTTGCACATTTAGAAGAGCAATGACTGTACCTGGAGGAGAGTTTTCCAGAATTGAATTAATAGAAGAGGTGATAGTTATTTCTGGAGTGTTATCATTCACATCCACAACAGTGATCAACATCATTGCGGTGGTAAAGAGACCTCCACCATCTTGGCCTTGAATTTCCATCTCATAGAATCCATATTTTTCAAAATCCAGAGACCCCCGTACTAGAACTTCTCCAGTTTGTGAATCCAATTGGAATATTTCAGAAGCCTTGCTTTCCATGTTCCGAAATGAATACATTACTTCCCCGTTGATTCCCTCGTCTGGATCCGTTGCATTAACCACCAGCACCCGAGTTCCAGAGCTGATGTTTTCTGGAACGCTCACGCGATATACGGACTGTGTAAACACTGGGATGTGGTCATTTACATCGAGGACCACCACACGAATAGGAACTGAGCCCTTTCGGATGGGATCGCCTCCATCTAAAGCTGTGAGGAGGAGCAGGTGAGCAACCTCTTTCTCTCGGTCCAGGCTTCCCTCCAGTAATAGCTCTGGATTCTTGGCCCCATCCATTCTGCCCCGTAGTTGCAAGGAAAAGTAACTATTAGGGCTGAGCTGGTAGTTCTGGAGGGAGTTCACGCCCACATCTGGATCCCTAGCATTAGGAAGAGCAAATCGCGCCCCAGGAATTGCGTGCTCACTGACTTTTATCTCCACTTCGTCTTCCTGGAAGCTGGGGGCGTTATCATTAATGTCGATTATTTCCACTTCCACTCCGTAAATCTTCAAGGTGTCTTCCACGAGAAGTTCCATATTTAAAAAACAGGAGGACACCGTCTCACAGAGCTCCTCCCGGTCTATCCTGCCTGCCGTGATCAAGCTGCCGCTTCGCAGATTCACAGCGAAAAGCTGTGTCTTCCCTCTGGAGACGATGCGGACTCCGCGCTTCGCCAGCTCCCGGGGCTCCAGCCCCAGGTCCTTGGAGATATTGCCCACGAAGTAGCCTTTTTCGGTTTCTTCGGGCACCGAATATCGGATCTGCCCGGCCCGGAACCCCCGCAGCGTCCCCAGGAAAATGCACAGCAGCACCAGCCCACTGCGGTCCAGGCGCTGTAGCCGATTCGCCATGGCAGGCTCTAAGCCGATATTCCGCGATTTCTCGAGCTGGTTGGTTGTGAATCGGTTTATGTATCTATGAAGTCCTAGGCCGACTGCATCCAAAATATATCAGAAAGCGCAGGAAAATACTTCTAAGTCTCCAGTAAGTATCCATCTCATTCTGCTTTGTGTGGTAGAGGCGGGGGAGGGAGGGACTCAATAGCGCGCAGCTTCCCATTCCCTGATTGGTGAACAGCGGCGCCTAGAGCCCATTCTTATTATTGCAACGACTAAGAAATTCCAGAAGAAATGATTATGCTCACCTCTTCGTGAATCTCACGTATTTGTAGAGCTTAAAAACGATTATACACAATGCTTATATTATGTGATGTTAAAACTTTACCAAGAACACCCACGAAAGGAGTAATTATTAAAAGGACTTGCTTAATTTTAAGAAAGTTTTCAAAATATTACTGGAGCTGAAAACTTGTAGGTTATAATTGGTTCCAATTGATTTTAACCGACTGAAAAGAACATTTCTGGAAGTGGAAATAACATGGTCCCGATAAAATCATCAGGTAGGATGCCTAACTATAATTCTTACAAGTGTTCCTTTATTGAGTAAATGAAACACTTGAGAAAAATTGAATAGCATCAGGGTTTCAATTAAAATACCATGCCGTGAAAATATACCTGTATTTTATATTTTTAACCAAAAGGTATTTTATTTCATAAAAAATGTCACCAGAGATTACCCATGTAGATGGCCTTAAAATGTCTTTGAATAGTAGGAAGATTGAGGCATTTAATTTAAACTTTTGTTTTAACAATGATAGCCATAAATTTGACCTATATTTTGGGAACTCTATGAAGAGGTTATCTAGAATCTTAAAATAATATCACTATATTGGAATATATTGGCATATTGTAATATAAAAAGGATTAAACACATTTTTAAATACTTACCTGTTTAAGAATCTTATTTGCTTCCAAGCTAGGAGTTAAAATGCTAGCCAGTAGCATGGAAGAGCTATCTTTGTTGAAGTTATCTTGTGTGGCTGGACAATGATCAACAGATGTGACGAAATTAAATTCAGGATTCATTTGATCCCCAGGCACACAAAAATTATAGGCATAGGGCAACGTTCCCTCATTGTAGCTGGGGGGACCCACAGGTCCGGACTTGGAGCAGAGAACTGACTCAAAGCAGCCCCCTGCAGTAGGGCTGAAAGACTGTCTTAGGCGTAGAGCGATAGCTAGAATCACCGCGAGTAGAAAGAGCACGGAAATCAAGGCCAAGGCCACCACCAGGTAAAACTGCATCTCAGCCTGGGAGTCAGAGGGTGTGGGACGGTCGCTGAAATCCGGCAGTACCTCTTGCAAGCTATCTGCGAACACCAGGTGCAGCATGGCAGTGGCTGAAAGAGGTGGCTGTCCTCCATCTCTTACAGCGACTAGCAGGCGCTGGCGGACCGAGTCCTTGTCACCCAAAGCACGCGCCATGCGCACCTCGCCAGTTCGCAGCCCCAGGCTGAAGAGCCCGGGCTCACTGGCATGCACCACGTGGTAGGACAGCCAGGCATTGTGCCCCGAGTCGGCGTCCACGGCCACCACCTTGGTCACCAGGTAGCCTGGCTGTGCGGCCCGCGGCACTGTGTCGAAGACCGCGGAGCCGTCGGGACCCAGCGCAGGGTACAGCACCCGCGGTGCGTTGTCGTTACGGTCGCCCACCAACACGCGCAGGCTCACATTGGCGCTGAGCGCGGGCGAGCCCTGGTCGCAGGCCTGCAGCGTGAGCTCGAAGGCGCGCAGCTGCTCGTGGTCAAAGGCGCGCTGCGCGAACACCACCCCGTTCTGCGCGCTCACGGACACGTAGGACGACAGCGTTCGTGACTCCAGGTCGCTGGCAACGAGAGAGTAGGAGACACGGCCATTGGGCCCGAAGTCTGGGTCAGAGGCACTGACTTGCGCTATGGAGGCACCTGGCTGGTTGTTTTCTGGCACATGGACCAGGTAGGCGGACTGTCCGAAAACGGGCGCGTTGTCGTTGACGTCAGTGATGTGCAGGGTTATGGTTTTGCTGGAGGAGAGCGGAGGCTTGCCCCTGTCGGTGGCTGCGATGGTGACGTTGTACTCTGGGGTCTGCTCCCGATCCAGGGCCCCATCTGTTACTAGTTTGTAGTAATTATTAGAAGAAGAATGAATCTTAAATGGAACACCTCTACTTAAACTACACCTGACTTCCCCATTTTCCCCTGAGTCTCGGTCCCGTGTTTTGAAGAGGGCAACAACCACTCCTGGAGGGGAATCCTCCATAATCTGATCAGGGAGTGACGTGATGATTATTTCTGGGCTGTTGTCATTTTCGTCTAGAACTTCTATAATTACTTTACAACGTGTTGAGAGAGATCCTCGGTCTTTTGCCTCTATGTTCATCGTATATCTTTCCACTTCTTCAAAATCCAAAGGCTGCTGAGTTAGAATGTTTCCTGTAGCGTAATCCAGAGAGAACACGTGCTGCGCTTTGTCAGCCACACCAAGGAAGGAGTAAGTGATCTCCGAGTTGATGCCCTCGTCCTGGTCAGTGGCCTTCACTCTCAGGATGGAGGTGCCTGGAGGCACGTCTTCCCGTAGGCTGACCCTGTACACGTCCTGGCTGAACACTGGGGGGTTGTCATTGGCATCTATTACCAGGATTCTTATCTGAGCAGTACCGCTTCGGGGAGGGTCCCCACCATCTAAGGCAGTCAGTACCAAGTGGTGAGCGCTCTGCGTTTCTCGGTCCAGAGTCTTCTGCAATACTAATTCTGGATATTTGCCACCATCAGGATTGTCTTTCTCCACCAATGAGAAATGCTCGTTAGGACTTAGTTGGTATTTGCTCAGCGAATTCATACTAATATCAGGATCTTCTGCAGACTCAAGAATTGTTCCCATCCCCGGGCTGACAGATTCACTGATTTCTAAGTTTATTTCATCTTTCTGGAATTGAGGGGCGTGGTCATTAATATCCTCAATCACCACAATGATATGAAAAATATTTAAAGGATTTTCCACCACAGCTTCCAATTGCAACTCACATCTTCTTCTCTCTTTGCATATTTGCTCACGGTCTATTCGGTCCTTCACAAGTAAGTCCCCGCTCTCCGCGTCTACGCTGAAGTGCAGCTTCTCCGCGCTAACTCGCAGCTTGCGAGCCGACACATCCAGGACACTGAGCCCTAGATCCTTAGCGAGGTTCCCCACCACCGAGCCCTTGGCCAGCTCCTCCGGAATCGAGTAGCGGATCGGCTCACACAGCGCGGGGTAGAACAAAGGCAGCAGCAAGGGAAATAGTACCTGCCGCGGGCCGGCCCGGCGCCTCTGCGCGCAGCTCCCTCCCATCGTTCGCTTGGGTTCTCGCTGGGTCCCCGCTTTTCCAGCTGGAGAAAGTGCACTCTACCGCGCTAAAAGAGCATTCGGCCCAGGACAGGAGGAGTCCCGGGTCTCGGAGCTGGGAATCTGGTGTGCTGGGCGAGGTCTGCCCAGCCGGGAGCCTCTGCGTGTGTGCTGGTTTTCTTCTTTCTGTTGTTGGCTGCGCAGGGAATCCTAGGCTAGAGGCTGAGGGATCCCCGGCGTCAGCGCTTGCTCTGCACTGGCCGACAGCGGCGCCCAGAGGCTCCGTGTGGGACTGCAGCTTGACTTTATCTCTTTCAAGGAATTTTTTGAGTTGACAACCAAAATATTTGAATCTTATTCCTCAGTGATTCCTTTACATCAGGAAATATATTTCCACGTGGTCATAACTAGCTCATCTTTTTATGTACTAAAATTTACATATATCTTGAATAAATGAATATTTTTTCTTCAAAATTTAAAGAGGCACAAAAGAATATAGCATGAAGGTTTATAGATCTCCTACCCTATGGCCCATTGCTCTCCACTTCCTCCATCCAGAGGCAGTCATTCTTGTTCCTTTTAAGAGTAATTATCTATGAAGCTGGAAGTACTGAAGATAAGCAACATTTTTTTTGGTCTTCAATTCTAACCTATATTCACCTAGAAAGTAATAATTCCTAATTTCATATTTAAGTACTGGAATGTAACCATTGCTCTAGTCATTACCATCATCCAGGGTGTCCTGTATTGCTTTTAAATAACCATATTTAAAAATATTTTCTTACAATAGCTACAATGTCAAAAGAGTAGTTTTTTTTAAAAAAATCTGTATTTTTCATTTGAGATGAATGCACAATTTTGACTCTTATGAACACAAATATGAAATAATAGTTTCAAAGGTTTAATAGTTAATAACTATGATCCTAAAGAGTGTGCTTTCCTTCCACAGACCTATCATTGAACAAATGTTGACTGGCCTGAAAAAAGTCATGGTCTTCAAAGGGTCTTGAGAAACTTTGGAATGCTTTTTGACCTTATGCTACCACATTTAGTAGAATATTAGTAATGAAATTAAGAGATCAACCTAATACATCACTATTTTCATTGAACTAAATGAACTCATCAGTATCTCCACTGATCCTTTGTTTAGGTAATTTCCCTTACTTATTTGCATATATTATTTTCTTTTTTATTTTTGGTGCTTATATTCTGATCTGCAGAAATGGCATTTCTTTCTTGACTCTAAGTTTATTTTGCCTCTCAATTTCAGAATTTTCAGAGTTTCAGGTGTTTGCCTCCCTATACATTAAACAGCCACTGAAATAGCTTTGTCATATATCTGTTGCTCCTGTTCTTGGGAACATGTACAAATTTATCTGTCTTCCCAATCCATATTTACTTTCAGCCTTAGTGATTAGAACATTTAACAAAAAAGACAAAAGCAGAACCCCAAATGTTCTAATTTCACCCTCTATAGCCTCTTCAGGATCCCTATTGAGCAACACAAGTTACATTAAAATGCTGTATCTTCCACATAGTAGTGGGAAATTAGAGAATTGTATGCAAAAAGGATGCTTCAGTGTTATCAGGTATAAATAGGGCAGGAAAAATCTAAGTATACATTGTTATAAATAAGTTAATTCAATATTAATGAAAAACAGTATATTCAACTGCAACTATCGCCACAAAGTATAAATTTAAAAACATATAAAAGGTAGTTTGGAAAAGGCCTATTGCTCTTCTCCTTGGGAAGAGCTGCGTTGAGTAATCTTGGATTTGGGTTGTGTTTCCAGAGACCATTTCTTTCTGATACTTACCTATTCTTACCAGACTGCCTTCAGAACAAGAGGGATGCTTAAGGGGCTGGAGTTTCAATGTGTGACCACCCAGGAGGAAATATAAATCGACAGACACTTCTGTATGGAAGTCTGTCTTAAGAATTGTCAATATTGTACTCAACAACACTATAAACTACAAGGTTCTGCAAAGCTAATCATAACAAAGCCTGATGACATACAGGCCTTGATTGAGACTAGGTGAATTTTACCAGAAAGTTAAAAAAAAACCCTTAATAAACATCAAATTCTACTCATCAGTGTTTTAGCATTTGCACTTTCCACTATCATGCTGCAAACTTAAAAGTAAAACCAATCTTTTTTAACAACAGAAAAAGAGTAAAAATAAAAGTAAAACTCACTGGAACCAATGGGGTATCCTCTAAAGGAAACTTCGAATCATTTAACAAAGACAAAGGATCCTTTTTCTCACAGCTCTCCCGGCTGATGAGCGTGTCAGCGTAGTTGGGCTGGGGGAAGATCAGGTGACTCTTCCGCGAGTTCGCGGTGAGGGAGACCTCGTGGGAATAGGTCTGCAGGAAAGCCCGCACCCCGTCCACGCCCACAAAGTGCGAGCCGGGCACGCCTGTCAAGCCGCCTCCTGAAGCCTGCAGCAGGCGTGACTTGTGCCAGCGCCGCAGCCTGAGCGCCAGCAGCACGATGACGAAGGCCAGGAAGACGCAGGAGACCGCAGCCACCGCTACCACCAGGTACAGAGTGAGGTCTGAGGTTCCAGAGTTAGCCAGAGACTCGAGGCTGCTGAGGTCCGCCAGGACTTCGGGGATGCTGTCGGCCACGGCCACGGTGAGCGTGACGGTGGCCGAGAGAGGGGGCTGGCCGTGGTCCTGGACGGCCACCACGAGGCTTTGCTTGAGCGCGTCTCTGTCCAGCAGGGCCCGCGCCGTGCGCACCTCGCCCGTGTGCAGCCCCACCGCGAAGAGTCCCGGCTCGCTGGCCTTGAGCAGGCGGTAGGACAGCCAGGCGTTCTGGCCCGAGTCTCTGTCCACCGCCACCACCTTGGTCACCAGGTAGCCGGGCTCTGCGGAGCGGGGCGCCAGCTCCACGCCAGTGGAACCGTCTGTGGGGAGGGCGGGGTACAGGATCTCGGGCGCATTGTCGTTCTGGTCCAGCACAAACAGGCTCAACGACACATTGCTGCTGAGTGGAGGATCCCCGCTGTCGCTGGCTGTCACCTGCATCTGTAGCTCATGGAATTGCTCATAGTCAAAGGATCTGAGTGCATACAGGACGCCAGTGTCTGAGTTGATGGATATGTATGAGGACAGAGGTGCCCCCTGGATGGTGTCTTCAGCCAGGGAGTAAATAATCCGGGCATTCTCTTTGCTGTCCGGGTCCAGCGCTGTCACTGAGAAGATGGAGGCACCCCTGGCGTTGTTCTCTGGGATATAGGTAAAGTAGGATACATGAGAGAAGGTAGGTGGGTTGTCATTGATATCTGCCACTTGTAGCATAAAGTGAATTTCCGTTGATAGAGGTGGACTTCCCCCATCTGTGGCTGTTACTGTGATATTGTAAGAGGATACCTGTTCCCTGTCAAGGGCTCTGTGTGTCACCAATCTGTAATAACTATCAATGGACTTTTCTAATTTAAATGGTAGATACGCCAAAATGGAACAGGTTACCCGTCCATTCTGCTCAGAGTCTAAATCATGCACATTTAAAAGGGCTACGACTGTTCCCAGAGGTGAATCTTCAGTCACTGGACTAAATAGAGACGTGATGGCTACCTCTGGACTGTTGTCATTTACATCTTCTACTGTAATCAGCACTTTTGCAGTTGCAAGATATGCTCCTCCATCTTCTGCTTGTATTTCTATTTCATAGAAACCAGTTTCTTCATAATCTAGATTTTCTGATATTTTTATTTCTCCAGTATATTTGTTTAGTTGGAACTTCAACAATTGCGTATCAGGTAATTTTCGGAATGAATATGTCACTTCTCCATTGGCACCTTCGTCCCTGTCGGTGGCTGTGACTGTCAGCAGCTGAGTGCCCACAGGCAAATTCTCAGGAACACTCACTCGGTATTCTGGTAAGGTGAAGACCGGCGCGTTGTCATTTGTATCGAAGACAGTCACGCTGACGAGAACAGTGCCAGATCGGAGAGGGTCACCCCCGTCGGAGGCGGTGAGGACCAGGTGGTGAATGGCCTCTTCCTCGCGATCTAGGGCATGCTCCAGTACCAGCTCCGGGTACTTGACGCCATTGGCACGGCTCTGAACTCTTAGGGAGAAGTGCCTATTGGGGCTGAGCTGATAGCTCTGCAGGGAGTTCACGCCCACATCCGGATCAATAGCTTCCGGGAGAGGAAAACGCATTCCCGTGGCGACATTTTCATTAATTTTTACGTCTAGATTTTCTGCTTGGAATTTTGGAGCATTGTCATTTATATCAGTTACTTCTATTTCTATCCCAAAAAGTTTCACCCTTTCTTCCACAAGGATATTAAAACTCACCAGGCACCGCGCGCTCTGAGCGCAGAGCTCCTCCCGGTCTATCCTGTCCGCGGTGACCAAGCTGCCGCTGCGCGGGTCCAGAGAGAAAAGCTGCCTCCTACCTCTGGAGACTATGCGGACTCCGCGCTCCGCCAGCTCTCCGGGCGCCAGCCCCAAGTCTTTGGAGATGTTGCCCACGAAAGAGCCTTTCTCTAATTCCTCAGGAATTGAGTAGGAGATCTGCCGGGCTCCAGCCTCCCATGGAATCCCGAGGAAGAGGCAGAGCAAGACCAGCTCACTGCAATCCTTTGATTCCTTTGAGCGATTCCTTTGAGCGGCCATTGTAGTCTGGTTACAGAATTCTGCAAAGTCCTCACTGGACACGTTGTGTGTTTAAACCGGTTCCTTTGTCTTTCTATGGCTTCAGGGTGTCTCTGTAGCCTGAGCACTTTAAATTCTGGAGTGAGCTTCCCTGCAGCCCAGCAGCCGGTTTGTGGGGCTTTGTGTAGTTGGAGCCCTGAGAATCCGGATTGAGCTCTGGCTGCGTTTTCTCTCCTAGTAGGTGAACAGCGGCGCTCAGAGCCCTAAGAAGTTACTGCACCCAAGTTATACATGGACTGGAAAGTAAACTCCATTCTGTCGGATTATTATATTTTACATAGATTCTTTGGTTTCCCCACTCCTATCTTTAAATAATTTACTATATGTAGGTTTCTTACTGGAGGTGTGACAAAGTGGAGTGAAAATATTGTAAATATTTCACAATAATGTTTGGTTAAATATATATTTGCAACACGTTTTCCCAACAGAAATGTACATACTGTAATAAAAGGTAAATAATACTTATTTTAGGTCATATGAGTGTCTAGGTATATTCAGAAAAGTGTTATAATTTAAAATTGTGATTTAAATAGTCCAATTTTATTTAGCATACATTCATACAAGACTATATTAAATAAACTCTTCATGACATAGTTCACTCTGAAGCTTTATAATTTTAACTACTTAATTCATTAAATTTATTTAGCTTAGGATTATGTAAGAGGTTTTTAAAGTACTCTTCTAGAATAGTTTTACTGAGCCTTAATGAACCTTTTTGTGTAAAACGTACTTTATCTTATAGGGATATAAGTTAAGTGGACCTATTTAAATGATTAAGCAGGCAATCACAAACTAAAATGAACATATATTACAGTTGCAAATTAAAATGTCTGCATTGTAATGAGAAAAGAAATATGTAGAATTTGAAGTACTGAAAGTTTTAGAAAACAAAGTTAGATGTAGTGATATAGGTTTTCAACAAGTAAGTGTTTATGTCAAATGACCTGTTTTCATCAGAGCATTAATACCAGTATAAATAATCTCTTCTCTTAGGCAGTTTGTATGAGAGGCCAAAGTCCAGTGGTTCACATATCTTCAACTGTGTGTGCCCATCAACCCAGTAGCAATTATTCCCTCAAATGCAAAGGGTATAGAAGTTTACTTCTTTCACACAGAGAACAGGATGTTCAGAAGTGTTTATATCACTATGCCTTCCAAGTATAGAACTCTTCAAAGATTTTATCTTTTTTCTTCAAAAATCTTCTATCAGCGAATCAGAGACAGAGACTGAGTGCAACAGCAATAGTATTTCATTTCATTTCTTAGAAATGTCTTTTTTTTTTTTTTTTGAGACAGGGTCCCGCTTTGTCACCCAGGCTGGAGTGCAGTGGCACAATCATAGCTCACTGCAGCCTAGACTTCCTGGGCTCAAGCAATTCTCCCACTGCAGCCTCCAGAGTAGCTGAGACCACAGAAATGTGCCACCACACCCTGCTAATTTTTAAATTTTCGGAAGCAATGGGGTCTCCCTATGTTGCCCAGGCTGGTCTCAAATTCCTGGGCTCAAGAGATTCTCCACCTCCACCTCCCAAAGTGCTGGGATTACAGCACACTTGGCCCTGCCTGCATATTTATTTATTTATTTTAGAGACAGGGTCACACTCTGTCACCCAGGCTGGAGTGCAGTGGCAAGATCAGGGCTCACTGCAACCTTGACCTCCTAGGACCAAGCAATCCACCCAGCTCAGCCTCTCAAGTAGCTGGGACCACAGGGGAATGTTACCACACTCTGCTAATGGTTTTGTTTTATTTTTGTTTTAGTAGAGATGGGGGGTCTCCCTATATTGCCCAGGCTGGTCTCAATTCTTGGGTTCAAGTGATACTTTCTGCTTCAGCCTCCAAAAGTGCTGTGATTATAGGTGTGAGCCACTGGGCCTGCCTTCTGAATATTTTTAAGCTTTAAAAATATATAAATAAGATATGGTAAATTCACTAAGTCTTGGCAAATTTGAATAGATAGGTTACTTGTTTGTTTTCTTAGGTGCCAAGACCACTGCTTCTGTTCGATAGTCAGAACTTGACAAAATATGGTGGCTCACACCTGTAATCCCAGCACTTTGAGAGGCCAAGTTGGGAGGATCATGAGGTCAGGAGTTTGAGACCAGCCTGGTCGACATAGTGAAACCCCATCTCTACTAAAAATACAAAAAATTTAGCCATGGTGAGGGGCGCCAGTAATCCCAGCTACTTGGGAGGCTGAGGCAGGAGAATCGCTTGAACCCAGAAGGCAGAGGTTGCAGTGAGCTGAGATCGCACCCCTGCACTCCAGCCTGGGCAACAGTGAGAGACTCCATCTCAAAAAAAAAAAAAGACAAAGACTAAATATCTTCAATCAGGTGACATTCTACAATTGACAAAACATTGAGAAAAGATGATAAAAAGCTATGAGTTTTAAATATATAATTCTAGATATGAAAATAAAGTAGTATGCCTAAAATATGAGAAACTAGTAGACTATTAGATAAATCACACACAAAAAAGAGAAACTCACCGAAGTTAGAGTCTCAGAATGTGAAGTCAAATCCTCCCCACCATGAGGTGGAATTAAGGCTCCAGGAGAAACACTGCAAACCATGTCTTCATTGGAATGTATGGGTGCACTACATTTTAGGAAATTAAACTCTTTTGTACCCGTATGTGCAATGCACAGATTATAAGAATAAGGCAAAGTCCCCTCACTGTAGTTGGGGGGAACTACAGGTCCAGACTTGACACAGAGACCAGGATGGAAGCAGTCCCAAGTAGTAGGGCTGAGAGAGCGTCGCAGGCGCAAGGCAATGGCCAGAATCACCGCAAGGAGGAAGAGCACTGAGATTAAGGCCAAGGCCACCACCAGGTAAAACTGTAGCTCAGCCTGGGGGTCAGAGAGTACAGGGCGATCGTACTCTCTGAGGTCTGGCAGTATCTCTTGCAAGTTGTCTGCGAAGACCAGATGCAGGGTGGCGGTGGCAGAGAGTGGCGGCTGTCCACCATCACGCACAGTGACCAGCAGGCGCTGGCGGGCTGCGTCCCTGTCGCCTAAGGCTCGAGCCATGCGCACCTCACCAGTGCGCAGCCCCAGGCTGAAGAGCCCGGGCTCGCTGGCCTGCAGCACGTGGTAGGATAGCCAGGCGTTGTGTCCTGAGTCGGCGTCCACCGCTACCACCTTAGTCACTAGGTAGCCGGGCTCTGCAGAGCGAGGCACCATGTCGAAGAGCGCGGAGCCGTCGGGACCCAGAGCTGGGTACAGCACGCGCGGTGCGTTGTCATTGCGGTCTCCCACCAACACGCGCAGGCTCACGTTGGCGCTGAGCGCGGGCGAGCCATGGTCGCGGGCTTGCAGCGTGAGCTCGAAGGCGCGCAGTTGCTCGTGATCAAAGGCGCGCTGCGCGAAGACCATCCCGCTCTGCGCGCTCACGGACACATATGACGACAGCGCCAGGGGTTCTAGGTCCCTTGCCACGATAGAGTAGGAGATGTGGCCGTTGAGCCCCAAATCCGGGTCAGAGGCGCTCACTTGCGCAATGGAGGCTCCTGGCGGGTTGTTCTCGGCCACATGAACCACGTAGGACGTCTGGTCGAAAACTGGGGCGTTGTCGTTGATGTCAGTGACATACAAGGTGATGCTTCTACTGGAAGAAAGGGGCGGCTTGCCCCTGTCAGTGGCTACGATGGTTACATTGTATTCTGGTGTCTGCTCTCGGTCCAGGGCTCCATCTGTCACCAGCTTGTAGTAGTTATTGGAAGAAGAATAAATCTTGAATGGAATGTCTGTTTCTATATTACACCTGACTTCTCCATTTCCTCCGAAATCCAGGTCCCGTGTTTTGAAGAGGGCAACAACCATTCCTGGAGGAGAATTCTCCAAAATCTGATCAGAGAGAGAAGTTATGATTATTTCTGGGTTGTTGTCGTTTTCATCCAGGATTTCTATGATTACTTTACACTGGGCAGAGAGACCACCTCCGTCCTTCGCTTCCACTTCCATGGTGTACCTTTCTACATCTTCAAAATCAAATGACTGGTTATTTTTAATCATACCTGTTTTCTCATCCAATAAGAACATATGTTTTGTGCTCTGGGCAGTGCTTCGGAAGTAGTAGTTTATCTCGGCATTGACCCCCTCATCCTGGTCAGTGGCTGTCACTTGCAACACAGGGGACCCAGGGGGCAGATTTTCACTAACACTAATTCTATATTCGTCTCTGCTGAAAACCGGGGGGTTATCATTGGTGTCCTTGACAGAAATTTGTATGTGAGCGGTGGCACTTCTTGGTGGGTCACCTCCGTCCAAGGCAGTCAATATCAAGCTATGAGATCTCTGTTCTTCCCGGTCTAGGAGTTTCTCCAGAGATAACTCTGGGTATTTGCCACCGTCGGAATTAACTCTAACCATTAATGAAAAATAAGGATTAGAGTTTATCTTATAATCTTTAATTGAGTTTATGTTTATATCGGGATCCGTGGCAGGGTCAAGCGATATTCGTGCACCAGCGGATGCAGATTCGAAAATTTCTAAATGTATTTCCTTTTTATCAAATTGAGGGGCGTGGTCATTAACATCCTCAATCACCACAATGATATGAAAAACATTTAAAGGATTTTCCACCACAGCTTCCAATTGCAACTCACATCTTCTTCTCTCTTTGCATATTTGCTCACGGTCTATTCGGTCCTTCACAAGTAAGTCCCCGCTCTCTGCGTCTACGCTGAAGTGCAGCTTCTCCGCGCTAACTCGCAGCTTGCGAGCCGACACATCCAGGACACTGAGCCCTAGATCCTTAGCGAGGTTCCCCACCACCGAGCCCTTGGCCAGCTCCTCCGGAATCGAGTAGCGGATCGGCTCACACAGCGCGGGGTAGAACAAAGGCAGCAGCAAGGGAAATAGTACCTGCCGCGGGCCGGCCCGGCGCCTCTGCGCGCAGCTCCCTCCCATCGTTCGCTTGGGTTCTCGCTGGGTCCCCGCTTTTCCAGCTGGAGAAAGTGCACTCTACCGCGCTAAAAGAGCATTCGGCCCAGGACAGGAGGAGTCCCGGGTCTCGGAGCTGGGAATCTGGTGTGCTGGGCGAGGTCTGCCCAGCTGGAAGCTTCTGTGTGTGTGCTGGTTTTCTTCTTTCTGTTGTTGGCTGCGCAGGGAATCCCTAGGCTGGAGGCTGAGGGATCCCCGGCGTCAGCGCTTGCTCTGCACTGGCCGACAGCGGCGCCCAGAGGCTCCGTGCGGGACAGCAGCCCGGTTTTTCATTTTGAATTCGGTCTCCAAAATGTATATATTCTTCGAAAATGCAGGTGTACGTTCCCCCCAAATTTTGCTCTCACCATAGTATTATAGTAGATATTTCTATGCTTTGTGTTGCAAATAAATGTGTTATGCACAATTTCAAACTTATACAACAGTAGGGAGTATATGTAGTGAACCTTCACATAGCCCACCCCACCTTCAACAATGATCACCACAAAGCCAATCTTTGTCAATATATACTGCGCTCCCCCATTATTTTTAAGTAATGCAAGTATAGAATGTCAATCAATGCTTCTTTTTAAGATGAGACATTAAGGTCAAGAATTTTATCTTTCAGCTTATGTTCTACAATCTGTTACCAATGCACAATAAGTTAAGTCCTACATAGTTCAAGAAAAAAAGAAGTAAACATTTTCCATACTCCGCTCAGTTATCTGTCTGGTGAGCCTTGTGTTCTGGTTTTAAGGGCAAGAGACATTTTTGTAGTATTGAATAGTAACTACCTACCATGACATATAAGCCTTCATGGATATCTGTTATGTTTTCCTCAAATTAACACACATTTCAATATTTATAAATACTAAGTATGAAGGTTACTCCTCAGAACAGAAATTGTAATAATTTTCTTGTTATATGGTTAAAAATATGAGCCTGAAGGATGCTTTATTTTTTGCTACCTGCTTCAGGGGGAAGACGTGTTTGAAATAATTAAAATGTCTGTATGTCATAAAGGATTTCCAGACAGTTTAGCTTTTTTTTCTTAAAAATAAAGCAACAGAAACCCAAGTAATTGCAAACAAATAAAATAATTCTTCATTTCCACAGAAATGCCAGCAGTCATCAATGTATCTATGGATCACATGTTTAGCATAGAATTTTGACTCAACTTCAAAGCTTATTTTCAAATGTCTTGTGAAATGTTATTTACTACTTGAAATGACACTATGTTTAAAATAACACTAAATAATACATTATTCTCTTCCTTATAGCTAAAAACAGTAAAAGAGTTTTAGAATCTTCCCAGCAGTTCCTGAGACTATTTTCTTAAATTATATCTGATATGCAAGTTCATTTCTAGCTTCAAAAGTTGGAGAATTGAGCCAGAAATAACATATAAGTGAAAGAAATATTTTTATTTCCTTGTTTTGTCATTTCACAGTGTCCAGTCTCAGAAATTTCTCTTGAGCAAGCATATACTATAGAAAAGAAGAATGTCCTACTATTCTTCATAATTTAACATTAAAGTGTTAGGAAATTAAGACCTTTGAAGATATGAGAATAAAAAGTGTTACAACTTTCACCATTAAAGGGAAAAAAATTGGCTTACTAGGATTTGGAAGTGGATAACTGAAGTTTGAATCTTCATCAGAAAATATCTATAAATACAAACAGACTTTACACACTTGTGATCTGAAAAATATAACCTCAAAGGGGTGTTTTCTTATCATAGAAATGGAAGAATAGAAGCAATAAATCTGGGCTTTCAGCTTTTTCTCTAAGAAGAATACATTTACCTTTCTATCAGTTAACCCTTACAAACATAGTATGACCTGAATAAATGATCTTAGGAGTAAGAATTTGCTGGGTGAGGTGGTTTACACCTCACCCAGTGCTTTGGGAAACTGAAGCAGGAAGATCATTTGAGACCACCCTGGGCAACATAACTTGCTAGTCCTCCCACCTCAGGCCTAGCTACTGTGAAGGTTGAGGTGGGAGGATCGCATAAGCCCAGGAGGTTGAGACTGCAGTGAGCTTTACTCACACCACTGCATTCCACCCTGGACAACAGAATGACACCCCCATCTCTTAAGAAAAAAAAAAAAGGAGTAAGAATTTTATGACGTGAGTCCACTGCAACCAATCAAGCAACCCTACCCAAAAAGCCCACATCAATACAGGCTGAGAGCTGCCCCATGAAAAATGGTTTATGTTGACAGCAAGGTTAATTATGAGAACATGAAAATTATATCAGCAAATATAACGAATAAATGCCTCCTTTTGATGTTGGAGCAACAATTAGGCTCAGTGAAAAGTGATGAGAAACACACTGATATCAACTTATACTACCTTAAGTACAAACAGTTAAAGAGAAAGCTAACTATAATAGAAAGTAAAGGGCCAGGTGCAGTGGCTTACGCCTGTAATCCCAGCACTTTGGGAGGCTGAGGTAGGTGGATCACTTGAGGTCAGGAGTTCAAAACCAGCCTGGCCAACATGGTGACACCTTGTCTCTACTAAAAACACACAAAAAATTAGCCGGGCATGGTGGCACGTGCCTGTAGTCCCAGTTATTCTACTTGGGAGGCCTGTAGTCCCAGTTATTCTACTCTAGTCCCAGCTACTCTACTTGGGAGGCTGAGGCAGGAGAATCGCTTGAACTTGGGAGGCGGAGGTTGCAGTGAGCTGAGATCACACCATTGCACTCCAGCCTGGGCAACAGAGTAAGACTGTCTCAAAAACAAAACAAAACAAAAAACAAACAAACAAACAAACAAACAAACAAAAAGAAAAAAAAAAGAAAGAAAAAAACTGAACTCACCGGAACCAAAGGGGTGTCTTCTATAGGAAACTTGGAATCAACTGAGACACACAAAGGCTCATTTTTCTCATAGCTCTGCTGGCTGATGAGTGTGTCTGCATAGTTGGGTTGGGGGAAGATCAGGTGGCTCTTCCTTGAGTCAGCAGTGAGGGAGAACTCCTGAGAGTAGGTCTGTAGGAAAGCTCTAACCCCATCGACACCCACAAAGTGTGAGGTGGGCACACCAGCCAACCCATCACTTGTAGCCCGCAGCAGACGTGAGGCATGCCAGTGCCTCAGGCTGAGGGCCAGCAGCATGATAACGAAGGTGAGGAAGACACAGGAGACCACTGTGACAGCCACAACGAGGTAGAGGGTAAGGTCTGAGGCCTCCAAGTCTGCAGGGATCTGAAGACTGCCCAGGTCAGCCAGGATGTCTGGGATGCTGTCAGCTATGGCTACTGTGAGCGTGACAGTGGCGGAGAGAGGGGGCTGGCCATGGTCCTGTACAGCCACCACAAGGCTCTGTTTGAGCACATCTCTATCTAGCAGGGCCCGAGCTGTGCGCACTTCACCTGTGTGCAGCCCCACCGAGAAGAGCCCTGGCTCACTGGCCTTGAATAAGTGGTAGGACAGCCAAGCATTCTGGCCTGAGTCTCTGTCCACTGCCACCACCTTGGTCACCAGGTAGCCAGGCTCTGCAGAGCGGGGTGCCAGCTCCACACCAGTAGAACCGTCAGTGGGGAGGGTGGGGTACAGGATTTCCGGGGCATTGTCGTTCTGGTCCAAAACAAATAGTCTCAATGACACATTGCTGCTAAGTGGTGGGTTTCCACTGTCACTTGCCCTCACCTGCATTTGCAAATCTCTAAACTGCTCATAGTCAAAGGAGCACAGAGCATACAGCACGCCAGTCTCTGAGTTAATAGAGACATAAGTGGAGAGAGGAGACCCTTGGATGATATCCTCTGCCAAGGAGTAAATAACTCTAGAATTCTCATTGCTATCAGGGTCATAGGCGATCACCGAGAAGATGGAAGTACCTCTGGCATTGTTTTCCGGGAGGTAGACTGAGTAGGAGGCTTGAGAGAAGGCAGGTGGATTATCATTGATGTCAGTCACTTGCAGAGTGATGTGAATTTCTGTGGACAGGGGCGGAGTTCCTCTGTCTGTTGCAGTCACCGTGATATTATATTCTGAGGCTTTTTCTCGGTCAAGAATTTGGGCCGTCAACAATCTATAATAATCTTCTTCTGAATTTTCTAATTTAAAAGATAGATTCTCCTGGATAGAACAGACAACTTGACCATTCTTCCCCGAATCTCGGTCATGAGCATTGAAAAGAAGAATTACTGTTCCCTGAGGTGCATCTTCTCTCACTGGGCTAAACAGAGATGTAATGGTCACTTCAGGTCTATTGTCGTTTACATCTTCCACTGAAATGAGCACTTTTGTCCACCCTTTCAATCCCCCACCATCTTCAGCTTGTATTTCCATTTCATAAAATGAACATTCTTCATAATCTAGACTTTTTGCTATTGATATTTCCCCAGTATTTTCATTAAGCTGGAATAACAGAGATTGTTTTTCATTAATTTTCCAGAATTTGTATGCCACTTTTCCGTTGGTTCCCTCATCCAGGTCGCTGGCTGTTGCAGTAATCAGCCAGGTGCCTGGGGGCACGTTTTCAAGGACTTTCACTCTGTAAATCGGTTGAGCAAAAACCGGGGCATTATCATTTGTATCCAATACTGTCACATGGATGCGCACGGTGCTGGAACGACGCGGCTTGCCGCCATCTGAGGCCGTGAGGACCAGGTGGTGAGCAGCCGCCTCCTCCCTGTCCAGGGCTCGCTCCAGCACCAGCTCTGGGTTTATGGCTCCATTGTCTCCAGTCTGCACGTTCAGGGAGAAGTGGTGATTGGGGCTGAGCTGGTAGCTCTGGAGGGAGTTCACGCCCACATCCGGGTCAACAGCTTCTGGGAGTGGATAACGTGCTCCAGGAACCGCGACTTCGTTAATTTTTACTTCCAGACTTTCCGCCTGGAATTTTGGGGCACTGTCGTTAATATCAGTTACTTCTATTTCTATTCCGTACAATTTCACTCTGTCTTCAACCAGGACTTTAAAGTTCACCAGACACCGCGGGCTCTGGGCACACAGCTCCTCCCGGTCTATCCTACCCGCGGTGACCAAGCTGCCGCTGCGCGGGTTCAGAGAGAAAAGCTGCGTCTTACCTCTGGAGATGATGCGTACTCCGCGCTCCGCCAGCTCCCGGGGCTCCAGAGCCAGGTCCTTGGAGATGTTGCCCACAATATAGCCCTTTTCTGTCTCTTCAGGCACTGAGTAGCGAATCTGACTGGCCCTGGCCTCCCATAGCATCCCCAGGAGCGAGCATAGCAGGACTAATCTTCCGCGGAGCTGGCATTTGGTTGGAGCTGCCATTGCTGCCTTGCTTTGGAATTTTCTCAAAATACTCTCTGTGCGCGCTGCTTCATCAGGTTCTTTCTTCCCTCCTGCGAAGTATGGTGATCCTTTTCCTTAGGAGAAAGCCAGAGTGCCCTAAGTTAAGAGGCTGAGTTTTGCTGCAGTCTGGGAGCAGGTTTGTGGGATCTGCCGGGTTTTGTGTAGTCACATAACTGGAAATCCGGTTGGAGTCCTGATTTTTGCTTAGAGTTGATCAACAGCGGCGCTCAGAGTCCTAAGTCGTTACTACACCCACTGATGTGTAACAGATGGCTGATAGAGAAAACACTACTCTTTTCTAATTATGATTTTAGATTTCTCCAATTGTTTCTTACATTTGTATTTCAAAAGCAATCTATTTTTTAGATATCTGAGTTGTAAATAAAGTGGAATAAAATTTCTGTGTGTAATTAAATCACAAACCATCGCTTAATATTAATTTACTCTTATTCTTGGTAGAATTTTGCACTCTATTTCTAGATATGTAAATTATTATAATTTCCTTTTTACGATGCTTCAATTTTTTCTGTACATCAACAATTTTCTGAAGTAATTTTTATGTTCAATCTTGTTTGGAAATACATTCATTTTTAATTTTTATACCTATATTATATATTTGTAAATGTAAAATATATGATTGTATTGAATACATATATAAGGATACATTATCCACTTTGAAATTATTTTCCGGGGTTAATTTATTTTGGTGGTAAAATTCCTGGAAAAACGTTTCTTTTAAATTTTTGTGTTATAAAAGTAATGTTAATTCAGCAATAGTTACAGATGTTCTCACCTAATATTGCTAAATAGGAACAGGATTAAAGTTTTTTGGAAATTTTTACATTTTTGTGATTGCTTAAACTTTTCTGCTATTTCAAAAAATGCTTAATTTTTAAATGTGAATACGTAATGCATGCACAGACTGTGTTTCAATGATTCAAATGCACGTACACTGAAAAGCAAGTTTCTATTTTAATCCTCCATCAATAAATTATGCAATTTTAAAGTTGTTTTAAACATTATTCTAAGGGTCATTTAAACTTATATAATAATCTGGGAAAAAGAACACAAAATATACAACAAAGAAAACTACTGAAAGGTTAAAAATAACTGGTAATACTGAAATCTCAGCGTTTACTGAATCACATACTAAGGGAAACCAAGCAAAATACTTATACCATGTAATGGGAGCTTTGTATGTACACAAGACTAGTAGTTTTTGTCTTAAAAATGGAATAATTCTGCATTCTCCTTCTTTCCTACAAGGATGTTGAGAAAACATCCAGTCATTTATAGTTAGAGATCCAAACGACAAGACAAATCCGGTGTGTTTTCCCCCTTCTTCAAGAATATATGTCAGGATTCCGAGCAAGAGAAATTCAGGCAATAGCGATTATATAGAGGTAGAGAAGGATTTTGCATCCAAGAAAACCTGGATAAACTTAGAAATGATTAGGATGATTTGGACCTTCTAAGTTCTGTGAATCAGTCTCTCTCTTTCTCTCGCATACACGTAACATATAGTCTCCTTCTTCTTCTTCTTCTTCTGCTTCTGCTTCTGCTTCTGCTTCTGCTTCTGCTGCTTCTGCTTCTTCTGCTTCTTCTGCTTCTGCTTCTGCTTCTGCTTCTCCTCCTCCTCCTCCTCCTCCTTCTTCTGCTTCTTTTTTTTGAGACGGAGTTTCGCTCTTGGAGAGATCTCAGCTCACCACAACCTCTGCCTCCCAGGTTCAAGCAATTCTCCTGCCTTAGCCTCCTGAGTAGCTGGGATTACAGGCACCTGCCACCACACCCAGCTAATTTTTGTATTTTTAGTAGAAACGGGGTTTCACCATGTTGGCCAGGCTGGTCTTGAACTCCTGACCCCGTGATCCACCCGCCTTGGCCTCGGCCTCCCAAAGTGCTGGGATTACAGGCATGAGCCACTGCACCTGGCCAACATATAGTATTTTAAATTAAATTTTAGGAGATTCAAAAATCATAAATCCATTAGGTAGGAATAAGAAAGTATATATGAGGAACATGAGAAAGAGATGGAAACTACGTGAAATCAGTGAAGAAAGACAACTACCAGCAGTTTCTTTGCTTTGAAAGATGAACTAAATGATTACATACATTAAATTTAATATTTATCTACAGATAAAATATAAACATGTTAAAGAATGAGACAATCAATGGGTAAAAGCTAATTTCATTAGCTTTGAGAAAGAGGACAAAAAAACCAAATGTTTTTGCTAGCTAGGAAGCTAAAAGCAAACTCTCACTACTTCGTAAACCTATAAGCCTACTTCTTTTATGTGACAATAACAACTCACAATTCACTGCTCCTCTTAAAGAATGGTTGGACAGCTTTTCTGAGCAGCTACAACTTTCCTAAGACAACTCATTAGACCTGAAAATGTACGGTATTTTCATGTAAATACAGAAAATTGGGTGGGTAATGAAAAAGAATAGACATAAATAAAACTCACCAACTCAGGATGGGAAGTCGACTCACTGGAATTACAAAGTGGAAATAAGGCCCCAGATGAATCACCACAAAGTATGTCTTGTCCTGAACTCAATTGCTCACTACATTTTAGGAAATTAAACTCCGTCTTTCCTGTATGTGCAACACATAGGTTGTAGGAATAAGGCAAAGTCCCCTCGCTGTAGTTGGGGGGAACCACAGGTCCAGACTTGACACAGAGACCTGGTTGGAAGCAGCTCCAGGCAGCGGGGCTGGAGGAGCGTCGCAGGCGCAAGGCAATGGCCAGAATCATGGCCAGGAGGAAGAGTACTGAGATCAAGGCCAAGGCCACCACTAGGTAAAACTGCAGCTCAGCCTGGGGGTCAGAGGGTACAGGGCGGTCAGTGATATCCGGCAGCACCTCCTGCAAGCTGTCGGCAAAGACCAAGTGCAGCGTGACGGTGGCGGAGAGTGGCGGCTGTCCACCATCACGCACGGCGACCAGCAGGCGCTGTCGGGCCGCGTCCCTGTCGCCCAAGGCACGCTCCGTGCGCACCTCTCCCGTGTGCAGCCCCAGGCTGAAGAGCCCGGGCTCGCTAGCCTGCAGCACGTGGTAGGACAGCCAGGCGTTGTGTCCTGAGTCTGCGTCCACCGCCACCACCTTGGTCACCAGGTAGCCGGGCTCTGCAGCGCGCGGCACCATATCGAAGAGCGCAGAGCCGTCGGGACCCAGTGCGGGGTACAGCACCCTAGGCGCATTGTCGTTGCGGTCGCCCACCAACACGCGCAGGCTCACGTTTGCACTGAGCGCAGGCGAGCCCTGGTCGCGGGCCTGCAGTGTGAGTTCGAAGGCGCGCAGCTGCTCATAGTCAAAGGCGCGCTGCGCGAACACCACCCCACTTTGCGCGCTCACGGATACGTAAGAGGCTAGTGCCAGAGGCTCTAGGTCGCTGGCCATGATGGAGTAGGAGACTTGGCCATTCAACCCCAAGTCCGGGTCCGAGGCGCAGACTTGCGCGATGGAGGCCCCAGGAGGGTTGTTTTCGGCTACACTGACTAAGTAGGACGCCTGGTGGAAAACCGGAGCGTTGTCGTTGACGTCGCTGATATGCAGGATGACGCTTATGCTGGAGGAGAGGGGCGGCTTGCCCCTGTCTGTGGCTGTGATGGTGATGTTGTACTCCGGGGTCTGCTCTCGGTCTAGGGTTCCATCTGTTACCAACTTATACGAATTTTTGGACGAAGAGATAATCTTGAAAGGGACTTCGCCTTGTAATTGACAATTAACTTCCCCATTTTCCCCAGAATCTTGGTCATGTATTTTGATCAAAGCAATTAGTGTTCCAGGCACCGCGTTTTCCAGAATCATCTCAAGTAGAGAATGGAATGTAACTTCTGGGCTATTGTCATTTTCATCTTGAATATTAATTTCAACTGTACATTGTGCAACCAGTCCACCACCATCCCTCCCTTCTACTATCATTGAATATTCCTTGGTTTCTTCAAAATCCAGTTTCTTTTGAGTGATAATTTCCCCGCTCTTTGAATTCAGACCAAAGATTTGCCCGGTTCTGTAGAAGGAATAAGTAATTTCTGAGTTGATGCCCTCGTCTTGGTCGGTGGCTGACACTTGCAGCACAATGGTGCCTGGTGGCACGTTTTCCCGAAGGCTGACTCTGTACACATCCCGGTTGAATACCGGGGGATTATCATTGGCGTCAGTTACCTGGATACGGAGCTCAGTGGTGCCGCTTAGGGGTGGATCTCCACCGTCCAAGGCAGTCAGGACTAAACGATGGTAACTCTGTTGTTCCCGGTCTAAGGTTTTCTCCAATGCCAGTTCCGGGTATTTACTACCATCTTGCTTCTCCTTAATTATTAATGAGAAACTTGGGTTAAGAGAGAGTTTATACTTCTGTAGAGAGTTTAAGCCAGTATCTGCATCTTCTGCTACTTCTAATATAAATCGTGTGCCAGGCTGTGCAGACTCACTTATTTGCAGCTCAAAGGAATTTTGCGTGAATGTTGGCGTGTGGTCATTAATGTCCTCGATCTCCACATTCACGTGATAAAAGTTCAGTGGATTTTCAGCAACAGCCTCAAATTCCAGAGCACAAGCTGGATTCTTCCCGCATATCTCCTCCCTGTCTAGCCTGCTGCTCACAAGCAACTCCCCTCTCTCTGCGCTCACGGTGAAGTAAGGCTTCTCCGAACTGACGCGCAGTTTTCGAGTCGGTAACTCCTGGACGCTGAACCCCAGGTCGGTGGCGAGGTTCCCCACTACGGAGCCCTTGGGCATTTCCTCGGGAATCCTGTAGCGGATCTGCTCACAGAGCGCCGGGCAGAACAAAAGCAGCAGGAAGAGAAAGAGCATTGGCAGCCTCTCAGCCCGGCCCAGTTCCCCAGCGCCGCTCCCCATCCCTCTTGCTCTCCTCAGCTTGCTCACCAGCCTGGAGACGCCGAGTTACAAATAACCTCTTTATTGCAGATTTTCGGATCTCCGAACGGACTTTAGTTCCAGTTCCAGTTCAGGAAAAGATTCTTCTTTTTCCGAGGAGGAAGCGGTGCAAAGGCTGGCGCTGGGGAGTCTGAACAGGGGCTGCCCTGGAAAGCGCGTTGCGGCTGCGCGAGGAGAGCTGGAGGCCAAGCTCTCCACTTTGGCCAACAGCGGCGCCCAGAGTCAGCATTAGGAAACTACAGCCTCTGCTGCTTCAGTTTAACCAGTGCAGTAATTGTATTTGAGGGCCTAACTTAACAAGCCAAGTTTTTACGTTCATATATTTAATAACAAATTGTAACACACTCTTTAAGGTATATTTCTCTGTTTTCCAAATTGTTAGAAATATCACGTTGGGTTTTTATGCAAACCTGCATACATTGGTCCATTCTTTCACCATTCTGCAAACATACCTTGAACTCTTAGCTAGAACTAAGTATTGCCCTTGTCACTGCAATATAATAATTAACATGTTACAGTTCTTGCTCTCAGAGGCTTCATAATATATTGATTTCAAAAACTGATTTTTATTAGCTATGGCGTGTGGAAACACTTTTATCATTCTTCTGTTCATTTATATGATTTCCGACCCCCCAATATTTCTACTGTTTTATATTACACATATTAGGGAAATCTATACTATTTAAAACTATTTTTTAAAGTTGTGGCAATTTTGTACCAATCCTCAAACATCTCCTCTTCCTGACAATATTAACATTCTTTATAAAAATAATTTTTCTTTACTCTTCTACTTCACAAAATATTACTTCAAGTATACTGCCCATATGATGCAGCCAAGAAATGATATACCCTACTACATTGCTCTTCTTCATATCTCAAAATACTTGTCTTATGTCATATCTTTTACAGTACATAAATTCATTCTTAAGAGTTACTGGGGAAATGCTTATCTATTCTGCAATACAAGGTACAAATGGATATTCTAGTGGATTGCATTATTGTCCTATCTATGTACCATCACTGTAGTGAAGAAGTGACTTTGGAATTGGATAAATGAAGCTCATAAGTTTGTTTACATAAATTTATGGAATATAGTGACATTGGTCAACCTTCTTTAGTCAATTTGTCAGATTAATAAAAACAACTAGCCAACATTTTTAGGTAGAGTAAGGATTTTCTTTCCTACCAGGGCAACTTTCATCACAGTTTTTTAAATTGCAAAGTGCCAATAATATGTTGTCCTCTCAAATGTGCATCCAAATGGTACACAAACTATGAAGTTAACTCCCACTCCACTGAATATGCACCATACAGTAGAACACTACACAATCCTTAGGAAATGTCCTTTTCATTAATAACAAACATTTATTGGGTCATCTACTTCTACCTCACATCAATCAATTCAGGGATTAGCTTTATTCAAATGCTACAAGAAGGTATGCAGGAATATAATAATGGGTAGCCTATACTGACTTTTTACTATTAATATTCTGGTTTTTTTTTTTTTGGAGATGGAGTCTCGCCCTGTTGTCCAGGTTGGAGTGCAGTGACACAGTCATGGCTCACTGCAACCTCCACCTTCCGGGTTCAAGTGATTCTTTTGCCTCAGCCTCCCAAGTAGCTGGGACCACAGGCACGTGCCACCACGCCCAGATAATTTTTGTAATTTTTAGTAGAGACAGGGTTTCACCATGTTGGCCAGGCTGATCTTGAACTCCTGACCTCGTGATCCACCCACCTCGGCCTCCCAAAGTGCTGGGGTTACAGGCGTGAGCCACCGTGCCCGGCCTAATATTAGTTTTTTTTTTTAGAGACAGGGTCTAGTTCTGTCACCTAGGCTGGAGTGCAGTGTCATGATCATAGCTCACTGCAGTTTCAAACCCCAGGGCTCAAGCTGTTCCCCTGCTCCAGGCTCCCGAAGTGCTGGGATTTCAGACATGAGCCACTGTGTCCAGCCAAGACTGAATAACTTAATTGAATTGATCAGCTTATTTAGAACTTGTGTACCTGAAACGTTGGTTCTTAAAATCAACATTCTCACCATTTCACGTCAATGCACAACCAAAACAGCTCATTGGAATTGTATTGAAATATGTTCTTTCGTATTTTACAAAAGTCACTTTCAATAGTTTAAAATTACATTTTAATCCAGATCTAATGTTTTAGCTTTTGTTTTTTGTTTGGAGGAGCAATGGACATTCTAGGCTTTAGATTTCATGTCTCCATGGGCATGGAGCCCAGGTGACCACTGACACACATACTTAATATTTAGTAACCAGTCTCATCTCCCACCAAGATCCATCTTTAAAGTTTGTTCATATTTTGAAAGATGGTAAGAAGTATTAAAGTTTTGAAGGGCACTGGTACAGAAACAGGGCTCAGAAAAGAGGTTTAAAGTGAAAAAATCTACAAGAGCCTAGTTATAGGTTCAAATGCTAAACATAACCCTAAAAATTCTGAGATATATTTTACTTTTGCTAAGCTAATACAAGGCTTTAGACTTCTTGATAATTTTCTGAAGTTCTAGTTTAGGAAACACACACACACACACACTCACACACATGTACACACAAACAATAGCAAAATTACCGGCATGGATGGGTAGGTACTTCTTAAGTGAATGAGTGATCATAGGAATAAAATACTGGAAGGATTAAAATGGTTCAACAATCTTTTCCAAGTCGTTTAAAAGCAAATGAAACAACAACCTATGACTATTAGAGCTTAACTTTATAGTAAAACCAACAAAATAAACCTGAAACTCTGTGATATGCCTTAAAAATTATTTTCAACTATCTTTACAATGTTTTTCAAAACATAATTTATGTCAAATAAAATTCATCTGGAAATTAAAAGCAAGCAAAGAACTAAACTCACCTGACCACGATCAGCTTCATTCTTACATTCATGAAAATCTATGGATGTTAACAAAGAATCGTTTTTCTCACAGCTCTCCTGACTGATGAGCGTGTCTGCGTAGTTGGGCTGGGGAAAGATCAAGTGACTCTTCCGCGAGTCGGCGGTGAGGGAGACTTCGTGGGAATAGGTCTGCAGGAAAGCCTGTACCTCCTCAACACCTACAAAATGTGAGGCAGGCACACCCACCAATCTGCCACCGGAACCCTGGAGCAGGCGTGACTTGTGCCAGCGCCTCAGCCTGAGCCCCAGAAGCACAACGACAAAGGCAAGGAAGACACAGGAGACGGCAGCCACCGCCACCACGAGATAGAGTGTAAGGCTCGAATCGTTCGGGTCGACCGAAGGCTTCAGACTGCCCAACTCGGTCAGGACTGCGGGGATGCTGTCAGCCACGGCCACGGTGAGCGTGACAGTGGCGGAGAGAGGGGGCTGGCCGTGGTCCTGGACGACCACCACGAGGCTCTGCTTGAGCGCGTCTCTGTCCAGCAGGGGTCGCGCCGTGCGCACCTCGCCCGTGTGCAGCCCCACCGCGAAGAGTCCTGGCTCGCTGGCCTTGAGCAGGCGGTAGGACAGCCAGGCGTTCTGGCCCGAGTCTCTGTCCACCGCCACCACCTTGGTCACCAGGTAGCCGGGCTCTGCGGAGCGGGGCGCCAGCTCCACGCCAGTGGAACCGTCTGTGGGGAGGGCGGGGTACAGGATCTCGGGCGCGTTGTCATTCTGGTCCAGCACGAACAGGTTCAGTGACACGTTGCTGCTGAGGGGCGGGTCCCCGCTGTCGCTGGCTGTTACCAGTAGCTGCAGGTCTCGGATCTGCTCATAGTCGAAAGATTGCAGCGCATACAGGACACCGGTGTCAGAGTTGATGGAGATGTACGAGGATAGGGGCGCCCCTTGCAGCGTGTCCTCGGTCACAGAGTAAGTGACCTGGGCATTCTCCTGGCTGTCGGGGTCGTGTGCAGTCAAGGAGAAGATGGAGGCTCCTCTCAGGTTGTTCTCTAGGATATAAGCTGAGTAGGAGGCACGAGGGAATGTAGGAGGGTTGTCGTTAATGTCTGCCACGTGCAGGGCGATGTGAGTTTCAGTGGACAGAGGCGGTGTTCCTAGATCTGAGGCCATCACTGTGATATTGTAGATAGAGACATTTTCTCGGTCCAAATATTTCCTTGTCACTAATCTATAATAATTATCTATTGACTCTTCTAATTTAAAAGGTAAATTATCACGTGTGTAACAGACAACTTGACCATTCTTTCCAGAGTCTTGGTCATGCACACTCAAGAACGCAATTACTGTCCCGGGAAGAGAATTTTCTAACACTGGGCTAAACAAAGACGTAATGATCACTTCTGGTCTATTGTCATTTACATCTTCCACCGAAATGAACAATTTGGTCCTCCCCAGAAGTGCCCCCACATCTTCGGCTTGTATTTCCATTTCATAAAATGAACATTCTTCATAATCTAGACTTTTTGCTATTGATATTTCCCCAGTATTTTCATTAAGCTGGAATAACGGAGTTTGTTTTTCATTAATTTTCCGGAATTTGTAGGCCACTTTTCCGTTGATTCCCTCATCCGGGTCGCTGGCTGTTACAGTAAGCAGCCGCGTGCCTGGGGGCACGTTCTCAAGGACTTTCACTCTGTAAATCGGTTGAGCAAAAACCGGGGCGTTGTCATTTGTATCCAACACTGTCACACGAATGCGCACTGTGCTGGAGCGACGCGGCTCGCCGCCATCTGAGGCCGTGAGGACCAGGTGGTGAGCAGCCTCTTCCTCCCTGTCCAGGGCGCGCTGCAGCACCAGCTCTGGGTTTATGACTCCATTGTCTCCAGTCTGCACGTCCAGGGAGAAGTGGTGATTGGGGTTGAGCTGGTAGCTCTGGAGGGAGTTCACGCCCACATCCGGGTCAACAGCTTCTGGGAGTGGATAACGTGCTCCAGGAACCGCGATTTCGTTAATTTTTACTTCTAGATCTTCGACCTGGAATTTCGGGTTATTATCGTTAATATCAATTACTTCTATTTCTATCCCAAAGAGTTTTCCTTTATCCTCAACCAGGATGTTAATATTTATCAGACACCGCGGGCTCTGAGCGCAGAGCTCCTCCCGGTCTATCCTGCCCGCGGTGACCAAGCTGCCGCTGCGCGGGTTCAGAGCAAAGAGCTGCGTCCTACCTCTGGAGACGATACGGACTCCGTGCTTCGCCAGCTCCCGGGGGTCCAGCCCCAGGTCCTTGGAGACATTACCCACGAAGGAGCCTTTGTCCGTCTCTTCTGGCACCGAGTAGCGAATCTGTCCCCTCCCGGTTTCCCACAGCGTCCCCAGCAGCGCGCACAGCAGGATCAGCTCGCCGCGTCTGGGGCGACTCTGTGGAGCGGCCATTGTTATTTTGCTGCAGAATCCCCTCAGAATCTTCACTGTGCATAAGTGGGTATTTAGTTTCTTGCCGCAGCTATGGAGATGATAATCCTCCGGAAACCTGCAGTGCCTCCAAACAGGGGTGGGGTTTCGCTGCAGTCCCGCAGTTAGTTTGTGGCATCTGCGGGTCTTTGCGAGGTGTGAGATCTGAGTGTTTTCGGTTGCATTTCTCTCCCAGTAGGTGAACAGCGGCGCTTAGAGTCCTAAATAGTTACTGCACTGAGATACAGATGACTTCTAAATGTAATACTCTACTAGATTACTGAGAAAAAAATACCATCTGCTTATTACTTTGTTTTGAATTTATTTGATTTATCCCTAAACTCATATTTTAAAAGAAACAGCCAAAGAATGTGAGATGAAGGTTTTATTTGGTGTTATTAAATGATCAGATTAGATCAGAATGATCAGATTGTAGCATTGGATTAAATTACTTACATTTCTGCAATACATTTGGTCTTAAAAAAAATAACATGATACTTTCATTTCCCACTGTGCTCTAAGCTTTATTGTAAATGTCTCCAATATATACTAACAAATAACTAAGAACTTCAGTTGTCACCAGAAATGAATTTATCTTGAGACTAAAATAGACCTACTGGGGATGACTGACTCAGAAATTGTTTTATTTGGTTTAAACTACTTAATCATTTTAGAAGCTTTCCAGAGAGTTGTTGCTTTTAAATTATTCTTCTAAATGCCACTTGAATTACATGTTGATAATGTTTTCAAATAAAAATTGTGGAATTTCAATAGGATAAATGCTTTTACCATTGCAGTTTTATGAGATATTATATTGTTTTGCTATTTTATTTACATTGTTTATATTTTTCTACTTGAATACTTTAAAGGTACAGATGAATATATGATAAAAAGCAAAGCTCCATCCCATCCCTTTCACCAGAGATGATTAAATTTAAAGCAGACTTGACTTTTTAAGGTAGACATATATTCTAAAGTTAATGTAGTTAACTTTACCTACATTAATACTTTGATCTAATGAACTGCAAAAAGTAATGACTATATAATACTTACTAAGAAGCCAAACAGTAAGTATGACAACAAAAAATCTGTTTCCCTTCAAGACCAGCCTGGGCAACACAGCAGATCAGCCTACTTCACCCTTCCTGTGAATAATGGTATGATAGTTTTTTCACTGACTGAAACTTTCTTAAAACAATTCATGAAATCTGAAACCTTTATATTTTCCTGTGAAAATATTATGCATATGGAAAACTGGGTAGACAATGGAAACCATATTAGTTAAATTAGTGAAGGAAAATACTGTCTGTACTAAAAACAGAGAAATTAGACAGGTCTGGTGTCATGAGCCTGAGTTCCAGCTAGTCAGGGGGCTGATGCGGAAGGAATGCTTGAGCCCAGGAGTTTGAGGCTGCAGTGAGGTATCATTGTGCCACTGTACTACAGCCTGAGTGACACAGAGAGACTCTGTCTCAAGAAAGAAAGAAAGAAAGAAAGAAAGAAAGAAAGAAAGAAAGAAAGAAAGAAAGAAAGAAAGAAAGAAGAAAGAAAGAAGAAAGAAAGAAAAGAAAGAAAGACAAAGAAAAAAGAAAAAGAATCAAAAGAAGTTTCCTTCCTTCAGCAATTTGTAAAGTGGCCATTAACTGAAGCAGTTGCTTAGAGATACCTAGCAAAAGGCTCATATAATGTTCCTTCATATTTTGTATATATTTTGTATGCACACCAGATTGGCAGTTTTCAAGACTATATTTCTCTCCTAGAGGTAGCAGGATGATTAGAAGACCCATAGCTATATTAGTTTAGGGCTGCAGATAAGGCAGTTACACATTATATATTAGGGCTGTGTGTGAGAGGGACAACAGACACAAAACATTGTCTTTTCTTTGATGGAGGATATGGAATGAGCTTGAATACAGGTTAATCCTGAAACTCCTATGTTGCAAGTAAGGAGATTCTGCTTTTGATCTTCTCATGAGCATAGCAAACCCTTTTCTAAGTAAAAGGATCTCTCTCACACACACACACAGCGTACACTGCATATAATCACAAGGGGTCCATGGACATAAAAATCCAGTTGACTCCTTATTCTAAGAGCTCTTGAAACAAAAGGGAAGTTAACACAAGAAACAGTAGACTACTATGGAGACCATACCAGTTAAATTAGTTAACAAAAGTGTTGAATTTTAGCTTAAATTCTTTGGCTTTATTATTTTTATATTTATGGTATATCCAAGCTGAAAAAAGTATTCATCATATATTAGGCAACAAGAAGGAAAATGTATGGGAAAAATCTCATTCACTTTTTAGGAGAGAGCCCATAACTGTCTAACATTTTCACTTTGTGGTTAAAACCACACCCTCATTGCTTTGTAAATCTAAGCTTGGCTAAAAAGCAAACAAACAAATGTTGGGCCATTGCTCCTACTTCACTCCTCTTTTGAAGAATGATATGACAGCTTTTTAACTGACTACAACTTTCCTCAAATGATTCATGAGATCTAAAAATTACATATTTTCCTGCAAATATGTATATTTTCTTGTGAATATGGACAAATGGGTAGGCAATGAGATTTAAGTTATACTTAAAAAGGAAACTCACCTGATGGGAAGTCAATTCACTGGAATTACACAGTGGAAATAAGGCCGCAGATGAATCACCGCAAAGTATATCTTGTCCTGAACTCAACTGTTCACTACATTTTAGGAAATTAAACTCCGTCTTTCCTGTATGTGCAACACATAGGTTGTAGGAATAAGGCAAAGTCCCCTCGCTGTAGTTGGGGGGAACCACGGATTCGGATTTAACACAGTGACCAGGCTGGAAGCAGCTCCAGGCAGCGGGGCTGGAGGAGCGTCGCAGGCGCAAGGCAATGGCCAGAATCATGGCCAGGAGGAAGAGTACTGAGATCAAGGCCAAGGCCACCACTAGGTAAAACTGCAGCTCAGCCTGGGGGTCAGAGGGTACAGGGCGGTCAGTGATATCCGGCAGCACCTCCTGCAAGCTGTCGGCAAAGACCAAGTGCAGCGTGACGGTGGCGGAGAGTGGCGGCTGTCCACCATCACGCACGGCGACCAGCAGGCGCTGTCGGGCCGCGTCCCTGTCGCCCAAGGCACGCTCCGTGCGCACCTCTCCCGTGCGCAGCCCCAGGCTGAAGAGCCCGGGCTCGCTAGCCTGCAGCACGTGGTAGGACAGCCAGGCGTTGTGTCCTGAGTCTGCGTCCACCGCCACCACCTTGGTCACCAGGTAGCCGGGCTCTGCAGCGCGCGGCACCATATCGAAGAGCGCAGAGCCGTCGGGACCCAGTGCGGGGTACAGCACCCTAGGCGCATTGTCGTTGCGGTCGCCCACCAACACGCGCAGGCTCACGTTTGCACTGAGCGCAGGCGAGCCCTGGTCGCGGGCCTGCAGTGTGAGTTTGAAGGAGCGCAGCTGCTCGTGGTCGAAGGCGCGCTGCGCGAACACCACCCCGCTCTCCGTGCTTATGGACACGTAGGATGACAGCTCCCGCTGCTCCAGGTCACTGGCCACGATGGAGTAAGAGACTTGGCCGTTGGGCCCCAAGTCAGGATCGGAAGCGCTGACTTGTGAAATAGAGGCTCCAGGCGGGTTGTTCTCGGCCACGTAGACTATATAGGAAGACTGTGAGAAAACTGGAGCGTTGTCGTTTACATCACCAATGTGCAGAGTGATGCTGGAACTGGAGGAGAGGGGAGGCTTGCCCCGATCTGTGGCCGTAATGGTGATATTATACTCTGGATTCTGCTCGCGGTCTAGAAAAGCATCTGTCACTAATTTATACGTGTTTCTTGAAGAAGTTAATATCTTAAATGGAACATCATCTTCCAATTTACAAGTAACTTCACCATTGTGTCTGGAATCCTTGTCACGGACTTTGAGCAAAGCAATATGTGTTCCTAGCTCAGCGTCCTCCATAATTAGGTTGGGTAGAGACTGGAATATCACTTCTGGGGCGTTGTCATTTTCATCTATGACTTCTACCTCCACTGTGCATTGTGCAATCATTCCTCCACCGTCCCTTGCTTCCAAAACTATGGAGTATTCGTTGACTTCTTCAAAATCTAATGTATTTAAAACAGTAATTTCCCCGGTGTTAGAGTTCAGGTCAAATTGGGTGATCTGGCTAGCTTCACTGAAAGAGAAAGTAATCTCGGCATTGATACCCTCATCCTGGTCTGTGGCAGTCACCTGTAGCACCGTTGTCCCCGGGTACACGTTTTCCGAAAGGCTCACCCTGTATACGTCTTGACTGAACACTGGAGCATTATCATTGGCATCAGTCACTAGAACGTGTATCTGTGCAGTGCTGCTTAGGGGTGGAGCTCCAAAGTCCAAGGCAGTCAAAGTCAAGTGGTAAGATTTCTGCTTTTCTCGGTCCAAAGGTGTCTTCAATACCATCTCAGGGTATTTACTGCCATCTGATTTCTCTTTATTTATCAGTGAGAAATGATCACTGGGATTGAGTTGGTAATTCTGCAGTGTGTTGCTACCAATATCCGCATCATGGGCAGATCCTAATATAAATCGTGTGCCAGGCTGTGCAGATTCGCTTATTTGCAGCTCAAAGGAATTTTGCGTGAATGTTGGCGTGTGGTCATTAATGTCCTCGATCTCCACATTCACGTGATAAAAGTTCAGTGGATTTTCAGCAACAGCCTCAAATTCCAGAGCACAAGCTGGATTCTTCCCGCATATCTCCTCCCTGTCTAGCCTGCTGCTCACAAGCAACTCCCCTCTCTCTGCGCTCACGGTGAAGTAAGGCTTCTCCGAACTGACGCGCAGTTTTCGAGTCGGTAACTCCTGGACGCTGAGCCCCAGGTCCGTGGCGAGGTTCCCCACTACGGAGCCCTTGGGCATTTCCTCGGGAATCCTGTAGCGGATCTGCTCACAGAGCGCCGGGCAGAACAAAAGCAGCAGGAAGAGAAAGAGCATTGGCAGCCTCTCAGCCCGGCCCACCTTCCCGGCGCCGCTCCCCATCCCTCTTGCTCTCCTCAGCTTGCTCACCAGCCTGGAGACGCCGGGTTACAAATAACCTCTTTATTGCAGATTTTCGGATCTCCGAACGGACTTTAGTTCCAGTTCCAGTTCAGGAAAAAATTCTTCTTTTTCCAAGGAGGAAGCAGTATAAAGGCTGGCGCTGGGGAATCTGAGCTGGGGCTGCCCTGGAAAGCGCGTTGCGGCTGCGCGAGGAGATCTGGAGGGCCAAGCTCACCACTTTGGCCAACAGCGGCACCCAGAGTGATCACTAGGAAACTACAGCCTCTGCTGCTTCAAGTTAACCAGTGCAGTAATTATAATTGTGTGCCTAACTGAAAGAACAAAAACTACATGGATATGTCTATATATTTAATGACGTCTAAAAATGTACTCTTAGAAATGCCTTCATCCCAACTTTGAAGATTTTTAGGCAAATCATGTAGATTAAGTACATAAACATCTGTCTATTGACATAAGCTTTCCCCAAAGATAGCCATAACACAAACTTGGCCTAAACCATCTCAGAATACAGTAATTTTCCATACTTACTCATTAGAAATATACTGGATACATTTTATCTTTCTTTCATTATTCCCAACATTTTTTCCACTTTTCTAAGTACCTCCAAATTGATTTATTTCAACTTTTTCTGGAGAGTATCAGTAATGCCAAAATTGCCTTTTAGAAGGTGCAATTTATACTTATCTTCAAATACATCCCCTTCCCAGTATTTTCAGTGATTTCATTACAGGAATATTATGTGATTCTCATTTCGATGATCACAGGCAATAGCCTACTCCTCTCCTCATTACACAATTATTTTCCTGGTTATGAGATACAACATTCATCTTCAGAGTTATCAGGGGCATAATACATAGCCTCAAAACACAAAGTCACTGAGATCTGCTGCACTGCAGCACTGCTTCCTACCTCTGCAGTTATTTTACATTCCTTGGTGACCTCTGAATTGAAGGAAACAATCCCTGGAAAATTTGATTTCAATAGCTCACTGAGTTTAGTGATTATTTCTCTCCATTGCTTAAAAGCAATTTTATGCATCTACTAAATTTTTGTCATGAGATTTTCTTTCACAAAATACCTTATAACCATATTTCTGGCATAGGACCTTCCCTCAGTAACATTGTTAGTGTCAGCAACATTGCCTGCTACCGCAAGTGATTGTACATCTGAAATGTGAACACTGCAGAACTTGTAAAATATATCCCCCACATTATTGTACAGTTTATCGTGTGCAAAATACTACCAAATACAACACTAGTCTAAAAAGAAGTCTTTTTTTTGAAAAGACAGAATCTTGTTATATTATCTAGGTGGGCCTCCAGTTCCTGGGTTCAAGCTATCCTCTTGCCTCAGCCTCCCATGCAGGTGGACTATAGCTTGCAACACCATGCCTGGCTAAAAGTGTCTTTTTAATTAATACTCAAAGGTCTCTGGAATCAAGATTACCTTGTCATCCACCCCTTCTGGATGACAATCACTTGATATATTGAGTTTTACTAAAATGTTACACAAAAGAATACGGAAGTAGTTAATCCCAGATTGGGTTATTTCCAACTGAATTTTTCAGTAGACCTAATAAATAAAATCAACTACTGGTCTAGGATCTGTGTACATAAGATAGTCGAGGGTTTGAGTAAATGAGACAGTTGAAACAAAGCCAGTATCCCCAATCTCCCACTTTGATAGCCCACAGACACACTTCACCTGGCTGTACCACTAAAACAGCACACTGGAATTCTCTGTTAAAACATGTAATTGCCTATGTCAAATGCCAATTACAACACTTGAAATGACATTTCATTTGACATATTTTATTGGTTTTGTCTGATGGCCTTTAGTGTGGCATCTATCTTTGATATAGATCTTAGTGAAGTGTGATACACACACATTTCATTCTTTAGGCATAAATATAACCTTCTACTATCACCCCATTAATAGGTGATTATACTGTAAATAGGTCAAGAAGCAATCAAGATTTTTTAGGATCACCAAGCTGAGGTACATGGAGGCAGAATCAGGCACAGAAAAAATCTTTACATGGAAGAAATCTTGCAGAACCTTTTATATATTTAAGTGCAAAAGAGAATCCTGAGAAGGCAGCTGAGGTGTGTTTTATTCCTGCTAACCTTGTGCAATGTGAAAGACTCGATTCGTTCTAATTTATAAAATATATGAGTGAAGAAAGTAGGTTGGAACATAGATTGGAAAGTAGGTGGAAATTATAAAATGTGATAGTCCACTTTTTCATAATCTTGTCCACAGGTTTTTCACTAAAGAAATGCTATATCCTATGTGTTCTATATTAAAGTGTCACAACTGAAGGAAACTGGTAAACTCAGTTTTACCTCCACAAAGTTTTTAAAATCCCTATTTTCAAAACACTTGTTTTGCAAAATAATAGAGAAATATCATGCAAACAAATTACTCACGGAAATAAAGGAAGGGCTGGGCTCACCTGAATAGTTGGCACTTTGTCTTTACATTCATGAAAATCTACGGATGTTAGCAAAGAATCATTTTTCTCACAGCTCTCCTGGCTGATAAGTGTGTCCGCATAGTTGGGCTGGGGGAAGATCAGGTGACTCTTCCGAGAGTCCGAGGTGAGGGAGACCTCGTGGGAATAGGTCTGCAGGAAAGCCCGCACCCCATCCATGCCCACATAGTGTGAGGTGGGCACACTCGCCAGGCCACCTTCTGAAGCCTGCAGCCGGCGTGACTTGAGCCAGCGCCGCAGCCTGAGCGCCAGCAGTACGAGAACGAAGGCTAGGAAGATGCAGGAGACTGCGGCCACTGCCACCACCAGGTACAGCATGAGGTCAGAATTGTAAGGACCGTTGGAGGGCTCAAGGCTGCCCAGGTCGGCCAAGACTTCGGGGATGCTGTCGGCCACAGCCACGGTGAGTGTGACGGTGGCTGACAGAGGAGGCTGGCCTTGGTCCTGGACGGCCACCAGGAGGCTCTGCTTGAGCGCGTCTCTGTCCAGCAGGGCTCGCGCCGTCCGCACCTCACCCGTGTGCAGTCCCACCGTGAAGAGTCCTGGCTCGCTGGCCTTAAGCAGGAAGTATGACAGCCAGGCGTTCTGGCCTGAATCTTTGTCCACTGCCACTACTTTGGTCACCAGGTAGCCGGGCTCTGCGGAGCGGGGTGCCAGCTCCAGGCCAGTAGAACCGTCTGTGGGGAGGGCCGGGTACAGGATCTCGGGCGGGTTGTCATTCTGGTCCAGCACAAACAGGCTCAGTGACATGTTGCTACTGAGAGGCGGGTCCCCGCTGTCACGTGCGGTCACTGTTAGTTGTAGTTCTCTCAACTGCTCATAGTCAAAGGATTGCAGCGCATACAGGACTCCAGTGTCAGAGTTTATAGAGACATAGGAGGACACTGGTCCCCCCTGGATGGTGTCTTCAGCCAAGGAATAAGTGACCTGGGCATTCTCCTCACTGTCGTGGTCCTGTGCAGTCACTAAGAAAATGGAGGCCCCTCTGGGGTTGTTCTCAGGGATGTAGACTGAGTAGGATGAGTGGGGGAAGGTGGGTGGGTTATCGTTGGTGTCTGCCACTTGCATGGAGATGTGAGTTTCCCTGGACAAGGGAGGAATTCCACCATCTGTGGCTTTCAGTGTGATGTTATACAAAGAGAGTGTTTCCCGGTCCAAGTTTTTGGTTGTGACCAATCTATAATAATTATCTATTGATTTTTCTAATTTAAAAGGTAGATTTTCTGGAATGGTGCAGGTCACCTCACCATTCTTCCCAGAATCTCTGTCTTGTAGGTAGAAAAGAGCAATTACTGTTCCAAGAGGTGTGTCTTCAGGGATTGAGCTACTTAAAGACGTCATAATCACTTCTGGAGCATTATCATTTACATCTAAAACTGTGATCAGTACTTTTGCCTTTGTCAGACTACCAGGAACATCTTGAGCCTGAACTTCCATTTCATAGAAGCCAGTTTCTTCATAATCTAATCCTTCTAAAGTTGATAATTCTCCTGTAAGCGAGTTCAGATGAAACATCTGTAGAAGTTTAGGAGTTATTTTCCGAAAAGAGTATGTCACTTCCCCATTGACTCCCTCATCCAGGTCGATAGCATGTACCGTGAGCAGTTTTGTGCCCACTGGTACATTCTCGGGGACAGTTACTTGGTACTGAGGCAGAAAGAAGACAGGCGCGTGGTCATTCACATCCACCACTGTTACCTGGATGCGGGCGGTGCTGGATCGGGGCGGGTCGCCACCGTCAGAGGCTGTGAGGACCAGGTGGTGAACCCGCTCTTCCTCCCGGTCCAGCACCCGCTCCAGCACCAGCTCCGGGTACTTAGTTCCATCGTCTCCACTTTGCACAGCCAGGGAGAAGTGGCGATTGGGGCTGAGCTGGTAACTGTGGAGGGAGTTCGTGCCTACATCTGGATCCCCAGCCTCGCTTAACGGAAACCGAACCCCGGGAGCTGTATTCTCCATTATTTTTACATTTATTTCTTCCGTCAAGAATCTTGGAACGTTGTCATTAATATCTATTATTTCCACGTCTATAGGGTAAAGATTCATTTTATCTTCCATCAGGATGTTAAAGTTTACCAGACACCGCGCGCTCTGAGCGCAGATCTCTTCCCGGTCTATCCTGCCCGCAGTGACCAAGCTGCCGCTGCGCGGGTTCAGGGCGAAAAGCTGCGTCCTACCTCTGGAGACGATGCGGACTCCGCGCTCCGCCAGCTCCTGGGGCTCCAGCCCCAGGTCCTTGGCGATGTCACCCACAAAGGACCCTTTGTCCGTTTCCTCCGACACGGAGTAGAGAATACGTCCTGCCCAGGCTTCCCACAGGGTCCCCAGGAGGATGGAGAGCAGGAGGAATCCTCTGTAGTCCCCGCCCCTTGGCTGAGCCGCCATAGTAGTCCTGCTTCTCTTGCTCAGGCGCCAGTCTCGGGAAGTGCTTCAGAATGCGGGTGTATCTGGGTGGACACCTCTGTCTTCGGAAGGGGAGCTCAGAATCCAGCAGGATAGAAGCTTGAGTTTAGTGCAGCCTAGAAGAGGGCTTATCGCAATCTGTCGTTTCTCTGTGCTGTAAAACTCGGTGGTTTCTGTGGGATCTCTCGCACAGTTTTTCCCTGGTTGGTGAACAGCGGCGCTCTGAGTCCTTACTAAGTTACTGCACCAGATTGATGCACACAATACACTGATTTCATAGAAAATTGTTTCATCTTTCAAAATTTTCCTGTTAAATTTCTTTGCTCTAGATATCCCTGATAATTTAAAAATCCATTTTAAGACACTGAATTAATGCAACAGTACTCATGGATGGGTGTTTGATAATCTTAGATAATTTTTTTAAAAACTGCTTTGCTTTGCAACTTTCAAGTGACTCTTTTGGGCACTGACTCACACGTTATTGCACATAGGAAAATCAGTCATTGAAGGCAAAAAGGTAAATTTTATTTAAATACATATGAAAAATTTTACGAAGAAAATATTTACATCAGTGTATATAAATTTTAATTAATTCAGTATTAATTGAACACATATGTTCTAGACACCATCATGCAGGATTCAGAAAGTCAAAATTGTTGTAAAATATATAGACCTATTTTAATAAATTTTTGATTGTATAGAACCTTAGAGATAGTCTAACACCTTCATTTTAATGAGAGGTAGGGGGCCAGACGCGGTTGCTTACTCCTGTAATCCCACACTTCGTGAGGCCGAGGCAGGCGGATCACCTGAGGTCGGGAGTTTGAGACCAGCCTGACCAACATGGAGAAACCCCATTTCTACTAAAAATACAAAATTATCCGGGTGTGGAGGCGCGTGCCTGTAATCCCAGTTACTCAGGAGGCTGAGACAGGAAAATCGCTTGAACCCGGGAGCGGAGGTTGCAGTGATCCGAGATCACACCATTGCACTGCAGCCTGGGCAACAAGAGCAAAACTCCGCCAGAGAGAGAGAGAGAGAGAGAGAGAAAGGAATTGCCTTGTTCCTGATTATGGATTATATGGTAGTAGAACAATGTCGGAATCCAAATATTCTCACTCACAGTCTTGTGAGAAAAAAAAGAAAGAAATCATTGTTTGTCTTGGCTGCAACAATCAGCTATAGAAGCAACCCATTTTCTACAGAAGGCAGAAATCTGCAGAGATCCTACTGGGCTGTGAATTCATAAGAAAGTGGATAATGGATTGGTTGATTCTTTTCGTTATGCAATTCATTTCAACTCTTCACCCTAGTATGCAATTCAAATCTTCAACCTACTCTATTCTAGTGTAATTGAGAAAACAGGGATCTCTAGACAGCATTTGAGCAAAATGCAGGACTGTCCTCAGAGGATCCTTAGAGGTACTCGTCTCTCCAGTGATGTTGATAGAATAAAACTAAATTATTGATGGATCCGAGGCTACCCTCTGCTAGCAGAAAGAAAAGAAAGCTCCTTTCACACAGTTGCAGAATAAAAGAGAATGACCTGCTTTGGAATAAAGACCTGGCAAGAAACAGTCTTGGTTTGTAAATTATTTTAGGTCCTAGAGAGTAGCTGGTGGAACCAGGAGAATCCAGAACTAACATTAAGAAAGCTTAACTTAGTTTTGTGGGAGTCTCCTAAGTAACCTATTTCTGCTTTCTGGTGGCATTGCTCCAGAATACAGGGAATACTTTGCAGGAGATTATGTTTCCATCTATCAAAATAATCCATAGTTATCTTTGCATTCACAAAGTAGACAAATTTTGTTTAAAGGAACTAATAGAGGTATTACAGATGAATTCTGTAAACTGGAGTTAAATTCTATTTGTTTAATAGTACTTTTGAAATTCTTGTTGAGGCAAGCAAAGTGTATGATTATTAAACAACATAAGTGCTTGTTGTAGACATTTTCAAACAAACTTCCATGTTTGGAGGTTATAGCTCTCAATGTCTTGATCCATTTCTACCTGATGCCTCAGAATTCATAATTTCATCTCACATTTGTTTCTTATTCTACTGTTTTAAAAAAGTCTCAATTAACTTATTGTGTCTTGGTACCTTCTTTGGAGAAAAAGAAATAAGATCTAGTTAAATTAAATTATAGACTACTCTGAACACAAAGCATACATACTCTATGGAGTAAATGGCTTCATCATCTCTAGCATTCACATTTTCTAAGTTATTGAACATCATAAAATTAAATATTAAAGATCTTTACTAGACCACCAAAACATGTTTAATAAAATCTGACATAAGCTCATTATATCAAATTGAAATCATTTCATAGTTTAAAGATGTATATTATTGTTGACTAAGATATTGGGAAGAATCCTAACCATTTGTTTGGTTGGATTAAAAAGAATTCTATGTAAAGTCTATTTGGCTTCCTGGGCATTGAATTGATTACCTTCTCTCTTTTCTTTTTGGGACTTTTTTTTTTTTTTTTACTAAAAAACTAACAAACAACAAAACAGTTCTTTGAAGTTCCATTTAGATTTTCATTCTCAAGCAAAGATAAAGGTATTTTCCAACGTTTCTCCTCTGAGATTTTACTCCTTCCCCTTTGACAATTACTACCTCAACAGAAGCCTGATCAGAAATGAATGCCTTTCAGGCCAGGCTCAGTGGCTCACACCTGTAATCCCAGTGCTCTGGGAGGCTGAGGCGGGGGGATCACTTAAGGTCAGGAGTTTGAGACCAGCCTGGCCATCATGGTAAAACCCCGTATCTACTAAAAGCATGAAAATTAGCTAGGCATGGTGGAATGCACCTGTAATCCCAGCTACTTGGGAGGCTAAGGCAGGAGAATCAGGGAGGAGGAAGTTGCAGTGAGCTGAGATTACACCACTGCATTCCAGCCTGGGACACAGAGCAAGATTCTGTCTTAAAAAAAAAAGGCTTTCACAGACCATAAAATAAGACAATAATTTGGTAGTTTTTTTCCTGATGTTTCAAAATTCTATAATGAACTGTCAAAACCTCAGATAGCCTATCTTATTATTAATGATCTGTATTGCAGGTGGATTAAAGAACCTCATTTAGTCAGAACTTAGCAAATTCCATGATTGCCAGGATGTTTAACAGTTGGTCAGTCCGCATGAATGAATGACTTTTGCTAGAGTAGAAGTTGGTAGTTTTTCCATCAGTGAAATGTTTTATTTGTTTAAATGAAATGGTCACAGGTAAAAAGAGAATAAAATAAACCAGTGTGGTCTCCATGAAAAGTAGTTAGTGAGCTTTCCCTATAACAACAAAAGCTCAAGATGTAGTTTAACATCCCAAATTGGTGGTATAATAAAATGACATTCACACTTTCAGAGTTTATGAAGTAATCATACATATAACAGCCCATCTAACTCACGAGACTAATATCCAAGATTCAAGTTGTTTAAAATTGTTATTTTATCAAAGTATATCACAAAGATACAAAAAAATGAGCTTTTGAAGATGTGTATGATTAGATCTCTTGGTTAGGTATACACATTTGGAAACTTGAGATAAATAAATCTATAATAATTCCTTAAATGTAAATACCACAATATTGGTTTAGAAAAACACATATTACTCTTAGCACCTTATTTAAAAACACATCAACTCAATGTTATCTTTATGAAGACTGACAAAGTCAGGTTACAAAGGAGGTTCCATTTATTTTCAAGGTATCATCTCAATTACTTTTTTCTTACACATTCATAACAAATTCAGATGCACAAGTGGCCAATCCATTCTATAATGCCACTAGATTGTAGAATCTTCCAACTCATGACTGGAAAAAAATCTTGACTATAATGTAGTTCAACAAGTCATCAAATTATAAAATTCCCTGTACTCCATTAATTCCAGGGCCATCAACTTGCTTTTGAAGACTGCCGGTAACAGAATCTCCTATCTCCTTAGTGATCCGTTTTCTATTCGAACATCATTGATAGTCAAAAACTTTGCTGTTTTCTGTTCATGAAACAATGATTTTGTTTGCACATTTCAGTCATAATAAATAAGACCAATCAGTCTTCTAAATGATAATCCCCTTTTTCTTGAAATATTTCAATAAACAGTTACTATGTGATGGAAGCCTTATTGTCTGGGTTAAAATGCTAAAATATTTAAATTTTTATTTATTTGAACCTCATTAACATTTGTTCTCCCATTCACCAGTCATTATTTTTAGAGATATGTCGTGTAAGCAGACACTACCAAGCATGTTTTAAAATTCATTTTCACTCTTTATTTATTTATTATTAGTAGTATTTTTTGAGACAGAGTCTCACTCTGTCACCCAGACTGGAGTGCAGTGGCGCGATCTTGACTCACTGCAACCTCCACCTCCAGGGTTCAAGGGATTCTCCTGCCTCACCTCCTGAGCAGCTGGGATTACAGGCCCATGCCACCCCACCCGGCTAATTTTTGTATTTTTAGTAGAGACAGGGTTTCACCATGTTGGTCAGGCTGGTCTTGAACTCCTGACTTTGTGAGCCCCCCACCGCGGCCTCCTAAAATGTTGGGATTACAGGTGTGAGCCACTGCACCCAGTCATTTTCACTCTTAAATACTATCAGGCACACAGTATGCAAAAGACATTGTAGTAGGCACACAGCATCGGGTGCTTAGTTATTTCTTAACAACCAAATAATTATAATAACGGTGATGTCAACAAATACTTGTTCACTATGCTGCTTTATAGTTTAAAAAAAAGTTATAAAATTATTTTCTTAGAATTTGAGTCAGATAGATAAGGAAAGTCTTGTTTTAAAAAATAATATAAGTAGAGCTTATTTGGGCCAAGCTTTAGGATTGCATCCCAGGAACATAGATTTAAGTTGCCCTGGATACACACTCTATGAGCAGCAGTTAGAAGTGGATTTTTACTCTAGACTGGGCAACAGAGGGACATCCCATCTCTAATAAGGGAAGTCTTTTAAGTCTTAATTTTAGTTGGAAGATAATGGTGATTGTAACTGGCCCAAGTAAATGACAGATAGTTACAGGAATGTTATTCAAGTCTTTTAACGCCAAAGATCAGGTGCTCCCTGCTGCAGTTACCAACGATTCTTATCTTTTTAAAAATAATTTTTGATTCCTAAGTAGTAAAGGTGAAAGATCTCTTGTATGAACCTCCGTCATTTACAATTATTAAGTAACACCGAAAAAAACACAATCTTTTTTTTTTTTGAAAGAGAGAGAGAGAGAGAGAGCGAGAGAGAGAGAGAGACTCATTCTGTCTCCCAGGCTAGGGCGCAGTGACACAATTATATCTCACTGCAGCCTCAAACCCCTGGACTTAAGCAATCCTCCTGTCAGAGCTTCTCGAGTAGCTGGGACTACAGGTGTACACCACACATCTGGCTAATTTTTTTTTCTTTTTGGTAGAGACAGAGTGGTGCTATGTTGCCTAGGCTGGTCTCAAACTCCTGGCCTCAAGGGGTCCTCCCGTCTCAGCCTCCTGAAGAGGTGGGATTACAGGTGTGAGCCACCATGCTAGCTAAAACCAAGATCTTGATAACACTGACCTAAATTAAGATTATTTTTCCCCACATTAGAAAAAGAAAGAAACTTACAAATGTCACATAATAGGAAAAAACCTAAGAAACGAGATGTACTCAATCCAAGACACAAATAGTTTGCCAAGAAGAGAAAGGTAAAGAAAAACTAGGACATGCATTATTTTCCCCCCACAAAATTAAGACTTCAGAACATTCTTTTGATATAAAAGAAAAACATTAGAATTATGTGATTCCCTGCAAAGGACTAAGAAAATTAAGCACTAATCAAAGATAATCTTTAATTTTCATGCCAACCAATAAAAACAATTCCCTCACCTGAACAAGGGAGTCTTCCACTTTACAAAATCACGAATCTTCCTGTACCAAAAGAGGTTCACTTCTCTTACAGCCATCCTGGCTGAGGAGTGTGTCTAAATAGTTGGGTGGCGGGAAGATCAGATTACTCTTCCGCTTCCGCCTGGAAAGAAACTCACCTGAAGTCGCCTGGGGTCTCCTTTCGTTTCAGGTAAATCCTGAGTTGTGAGAAGAGACTCGCTTTTCTCACAGCTCTCCTGGCTGATGAGCGTGTCCGCATAGTTGGGCTGGGGGAAGATCAGATGACTCTTCCGCGAGTCTGCAGTGAGTGAGACCTCGTGGGAATAGGTCTGCAGGAAAGCCCGCACCCCGTCCACGCCCACAAAGTGTGAGCCGGGCATGCTCGCCAAGCTACCTCCCAAAGCCTGCAGCCGGCGTGACTTGTGCCAGCGCCGAAGCCTGAGCGCCAGCAGCACGATGACGAAGGCCAAGAAGACGCAGGAGACCACGGCCACCGCCACCACCAGGTACAGCGTGAGGTCAGAGTTGTGAGAACCGTCGGAGGGCTCCAGGCTGCCCAGGTCGGCCAGGATTTCCGGGATGCTGTCGGCCACAGCCACGGTGAGCGTGACAGTGGCGGAGAGAGGGGGCTGGCCGTGGTCCTGGACGGCCACCACGAGGCTCTGCTTGAGCGCGTCTCTGTCCAGCAGGGCCCGAGCCGTGCGCACCTCGCCCGTGTGCAGCCCCACAGCGAAGAGTCCCGGTTCGCTGGCCTTGAGCAGGCGGTAGGACAGCCAGGCGTTCTGGCCCGAGTCTCTGTCCACCGCCACCACCTTGGTCACCAGGTAGCCAGGCTCTGCGGAGCGGGGCGCCAGCTCCACGCCGGTGGAACCGTCTGTGGGGATGGCGGGATACAGGATCTCGGGCGCATTGTCATTCTGGTCCAGCACAAACAGGCTCAGTGACACGTTGCTGCTAAGAGGCGGGTCCCCGCTGTCGCTGGCTGTCACCCACAGCTGTAGGTCTCTCAACTGCTCATAGTCGAAGGAGCGCAGGGTGTACAGAATCCCAGTGTCGGAGTTGATGGACACGTAGGAGGACAGGGGCGCCCCCTGGAGGGTGTCTTCTGCCAGTGAGTAGGAGACTCGGGCGTTCTGGTCCATATCAGGGTCCAGTGCATTCACAGAGAAGATGGAGGCGCCCCTGGGGTTGTTTTCAAGGACATAGACTGAGTAGGATGAGTGGGGGAAGGTGGGCGGGTTGTCGTTGGTGTCTGCCACATTTAGGGAGATGATTGTTTCTGTTGACAGAGGTGGTGTTCCTTTGTCCGTGGCTGTCACAGTAATGTTGTATAAGGATACCTCTTCCCGGTCTAGAGCTGCATTTGTCACTAATCGATAATAATTGCTAACTGACTTTTCCAATTCAAATGGGAGACTTCTCGGGATGGAACAGGTTACCAGGCCATTCAGGCCAGAGTCTCGATCGAACACTTGAAAAAGAGCGATGACTGTTCCTGGAGGTGCACTTTCAGCAATTGTTCTGCTTCCAGATGTAACAACCACTTCTGGTACATTATCATTGACATCCAAGATAGTTATTAAGACTTTAGCTCTGTCTCGAAGACCTGGCTGATCCCGGGCTTCAACACCCAGCTCATAAAATCTCGATTCCTCATAGTCTAGATTTGCAGAAGTTGAAATTTCTCCAGTCAAAACATTCAAACAGAAAATTTGTGAGATCTTTTCTGTAATCTTCACAAAGTAATAAGTTACTTCCCCGTGGACTCCTTCATCCTGGTCGGTGGCATTTACTGCCAACACTGGTGTGCCTACTGGCAGGTTTTCAGGAACACTTACACGGTAGACAGGCTGAGTAAACACTGGAGCGTTGTCATTCACATCTACAACTGTTACCAGAATTCGGGCAACGCTTGAGCGGACAGGGTCACCGCCATCCAAGGCAGTAAGGACCAGGTGGTAAACGGCTTCTCCTTCCCGGTCCAGGGTGCCCTCCAGCACCAGCTCCGGGTACTTGGGCCCATGGCCTTCGCTTTGCACATCCACTGAGAAGTGACTATTACCACTGAGCTTAAAGCCCTGAAGGGAGTTTATTCCCACATCAGGGTCATAGACCTCCGTTAGTGGAAAACGAGAGGATGGAGCTGCATTTTCGAGAATTTTCACTTCCAATTCTTCTTTTAAGAATTGGGGTGTATTGTCATTAATGTCCACTATTTCCACTTCCACGGGATAAAGATTCAGTTTATCCTCGACAAGGATGTTAAAACTCACCAGACACCGCGGGCTCTGAGCACAGAGCTCCTCCCGGTCTATCCTACCCGCGGTGACCAAGCTGCCGCTTCGCGGGTTCAGAGAGAAAAGCTGCGTCCTACCTCTGAAGACGATGCGGACTCCATGCTCCGCCAGCTCCCGGGGCTCCAGTTCCAGGTCTTTGGCGATGTTGCCTACGAAGGAGCCTTTCTCCAGCTCCTCGGGAATAGAGTAGCGGATCTGCGCTGCCGCGGCCCCCCACAGCGTCCCCAGGAGCGTGAGGAGCAGGACCTGCTCGCTGCGCAGCGGACGCCTCTGCAGAGGCGCCATTACTGGCTTATTAGAGACTTCTCTGGGATTAAGAAGAGGAAAAACAGGTCTTCATCACTTTGCTCTTCTCAGAAATAGCGGTGAAGTTCCTTCAACAAGCAGAGACCGGATGCGAAGCGTTTCAGGTCAGAATTTCCGCACAGCTTTCCTGCTTTCCTGTCTGATTTGCTTTGTGGTTGGAGGATGTAACTCAAGTTTCCGTTGATTTTCTTGCCCGGGTTAGTGAACAGCGACGCTCAGAGTCCTAACTTAATACTGCATCGTTTTGTGAAACTATCATACAGAGGCTTTTATTTCTGCTAAATCTGCATAGATGACACTCATAATATTTCCCTTCCCAAGACAATGAAGCATTTAGAAGAGTGCAAGAGATTATTCTGAATAATTTTAAATGTTCTCTGATGTTTACCATTCATTTTTATGAAAATATCTCTTAGGATCTTGGGGAACAGAAATAATATTACAATCTTCTGTAAATTTTGAATTATCATATTTCACCATCATTTACACTAGTCCCACTTTCAATAAGGGTACCAACAACCACAAACACATTTTTTTTTTGAGACAAACTCTCTCTCTGTCTCCCAGGCTAGAGTGCAGGGGCACAATTATAGATCATTGCAGCCGCAACCTTCTGGGGTCAAGGGATCCTCCCACCTCAGCCTCCCGAGTAGCTGGGACTACAGACATATGCTACACAAACACATTTTGAACCAATTCACTATAGTACCCAATACAAGAGTTGCCATTTGAGATCCATTATTTCTTTTGATTAGCATAGAAATTAAAAACTGCCCTGACACAGGCAACATCTGTGTATACTTTAAAAAACATGCAAAGGGAAGTAAAAATATATATAGGTTACATTAAAAATGTCTTAAGATATACATTATGTTTAATATATTTTAGGATTGACTGCATTAAAACTAAGTAAACCACTTAATTGTGCAGATTTGTGTCTAATTCTGGATAGATATGTCTGAAAATGACAGTGTGAGACAATACTGTATTAAAAATGTTTCAGATTATAGTGTATTAGGATTAACAAAAATTTCAAGACTATCAAAAGGAGGCTTTCTATGAAAGAACAACTGCCATACAGATATTCTACAGGAAATTCTACAAAGAATTTCCTAGGCACCCTACTCCACACCCAGAAAATCAATAAAATAATGTAATCAGGAAATATTTAATCTGTAAACATTTTATCTCTAAATCAATGAATTGAAACCCAATTATATTTATGGAAGGAAAGGTTTGAAGAAACTCACCTGTTGCAAATTGCCTGAATTAGAAGGCATTTTTGGATTGTCATTACTTTCAAACCAAGACGCTTCATCACATAGCAGATCTTGTGGTGCAGCATCTTCAGCCTTTATTTTTTTTTTTTTTTTTTTTTTTTTTTCGTTCATGTACCATATCTAATTAGCTACTCAGCTCGTGGTACTGAGGAATGTGGTACAGCGACTCGCCGGCTAAGTTTGATTTTAGTAGGACGGACTGTGTACCAGGATGGTCCGACTCTGACCTCGTATCGCCGTCTCGCCTCCCAAGGTGGATTACAGGCTGACACGGCCCCATTTCAGCTATAGAAAATAAACTGTTGAGGAATGGACAGAACAGACGTAGGAAAAGCAAGTCCCATGTAGTTGGGAACTCAGTCTTGGAGTAGAGACCAGGCTGAAAGTAGCCCTCGCTGGAAGAGCGTCGCAGGCGCAGGGCAATGGCCAGAATCACCGCGAGGAGGAAGAGCACTGAGATCAAGGCCAACGCCACTATTAGGTGAAACTAGTACTGCCTGAAGGTCAGAGGGAGTGGGACGGTCGCTAAGGTCAGGTTGTATCTCTGGCAAGCTATCTGCGAAGATTAGGTGCAGCGTGACGGTGGCTGAAAGAGGCGGCTGTCCTCCATCACAAACAGTGACCAGCAGGCGCTGGCGGGCGGCCTCCCTGTCGCCCAAGGTACGCGCCGTGCGCACCTCACCGGTGCGCAGCCCCAGGCTGAGCAGCCCGGGCTCGCTAGGCTGCTGAATGTGGTAGGACAGCCAGGCGTTGGGTCCCGAGTCTGCGTCCACCGCCACCACCTTGGTCACCAGGTAGCCAGGCTCTGCAGCGCGCGGCACCATATCGAAGAGCGCAGAGCCGTCGGGCCCCAGAGCTGGGTACAGCACCCGCGGTGCATTGTCGTTGCGGTCGCCCACCAACACCCGCAGGCTCACGTTGGCGCTGAGCGCCGGCAAGCCCTGGTCGCGGGCCTGCAGCGTGAGCTCAAAGGCGCGCAGCTGCTCGTGGTCGAAGGCTCGCTGCGCGAACACCACCCCGCTCTGCGCGCTCACGGACACGTAGGACGACAGCTCCCGCGGCTCCAGGTCACTGGCCACGATGTAGTAGTAGACAAGGCCGTTAGGTCCCAAGTCGGGATCCGAGGCGCTAACATGCGCAATGGAGGCTCCAGGCGGGTTGTTCTCAGCTACATGCACCGTGTAGGAGGCCTGGTGGAAAACTGGAACGTTGTCGTTGACATCAAGGATGTGCAGAGTGATGGTCTTGCTGGAGGAGAGCGGTGGATTGCCTTTGTCGGTAGCTGTGATCGTCACATTGTATTCTGGGATCTGCTCCCGGTCCAGGGCTCCATCTGTCACCAACCTGTATATGTTTTTGGTATCTTGAACGATTTTAAAGGGAAACTTTCCTTTTAGTTGGCATAGGATTTCTCCATTAAATCCAGAATCTAGATCATGTGTTTTGATCAGGGCAATAGCAGTCCCCAGCTCAGCATCTTCTTGTATATGTTGGGATTCAGAAGCCAGGGTTATCTCCAGGGCATTGTCATTTTCATCTGAAATATCTATCTGTACTTTACAATATGTAGTGTGATGTCCACCATCCTTTGTTTCCACCCCAATTGTGTAGCTATCACTCTCTTGAAAGTCCAGTTCTCCAACAGTGGTGAGTTCCCCCGTTTTACTGTCCAGCTTGAACAATTGTCTCACTGCCTTACCAATACTGATGAAGGCATAGATGATCTCGGCATTAACACCCTCATCCAAGTCAGTGGCCATCACTTTTAATACCAAGGAGCCAGCGGGCAGGTTCTCTGCAACATCGACCCTGTACATGTCCTGAGTAAATACTGGGGGGTTATCATTTGCATCTGCGACAATTACCCTGATCTGGGTGGTACAGCTTCTGGAGGGCTCGCCCCCATCCACAGCTGTGAGGACCAGGTGGTGATGCGGCTGCTCTTCCCTGTCCAGGGGTGCTTTCAGTACTAGTTCTGGGTACCTACTGCCATCCAGGTTCTCCTTCTGAATTAAAAAGAAGTGCGGATCAGGGCTGAGGTAGTACTGCTGCAGCGAAATGACACCTACATCAGGATCCTGAGCAGATTCCAAGGCAAAGGTGGCTCCAGTGATCGCCAGTTCGCTGATTTCCAGCTCAGTGATATTTTCGCTAACGGTCGGTGGGTTGTCGTTAATATCCTGGATCAGCACGGTTACATGAGAAAAGTTTAAAGGCTTTTCAGCAACCATTTCAAATTCCAGAACACACGTTGACTTCTTGCCACAAATCTCCTCTCGGTCTATACGGTCGCTCACAAATAAGTCCCCATTTTCGGGGCGCACGGTAAAGAATTTCTTCTCTGCAATAACCCGCAGGTTCCGAGTGGGTAAATCCCCTACGCCAAAACCCAGGTCCTTGGCGAGGTTCCCTACCAGGGAGCCTCCTCCGCTATTCCGTCCAGCTCCTCGGGAATAGCGTAGCGGATCGGTTGGGAGAGCCCCTGGCCTAACAAAGAGAGCAGGAAGAGAAACAGCATTCGCCTCCGCTCTGCTGGGCCGCTCCATCCGGAGCTATTTCCCATCCCCCTCTCTGCGCCTTTGCCTTTCTAAATCCGAGGAGAGGAGATCTTTAAATAATCCCAAGACCTCTCTGAGCAGAACCAACTATTTGTTTTGTCTTGGTGCTTGGATTCTCTGATGGGTGTCTCCGCTGCAGGAAGCCGGATAGAGAGTACACTTTTCTTCCAAGTTGGCTGCGGCGGGAGGAGCCAATACTTTGCACAGCACTAGCCAAGACCGGCACCCGGCGCCTCCGCTGCAGAACTGCAGCAGTGGTGACTAAATCCTCTCCAAATAAGGAGCCAGTTAGGAGAAAAATCGGCAGTGTACTGATAGTGATACTTTCTTCCCATTTTAAAAGAACTTTTAAAAAACATTAAATATATTTACTATATCTTTAGTCTGTTATTTCTTTTAATTTGAGCTTCATCCATCCAAATCAAGTACCTTTTACTTCTCAAAGGGCAGAGATAATCTTGCTCAATCCCGTCATGTTTTTTAGTTTCTATTTTCATAAAATGGTCATAATAACATCTTCTCTGCTTACTTTAGTAGAAATGAGGACCAAATAAAATGATACATAGAAAAATCATACGAATGAAAGCTATTTTTGGTGATAGCAGAAGACGCAGTATAAAGATGCTTGAAATATCAGCTTCACGTGTATTGTTATTGCATTCTATTTCCTTTTCTTCTAACTTCTAAAAGTTATAATCTCATAGCTTTTAGTTTCATCCTATGTTTCACTTTCTTCTCTTTTATCTTTATTATTTCCCCCCAAAAGAAGTTACAGGTAATGAGGAAATGATTGACCTTATAAAATAGAAGTATAGCAAGAAGCAAGAGGGTCTCTTTTCCTTTGTTTCCAAGTGTCTACTTTAAATTAAATAAGTATGATTGAAATTTTTTCTTTTTTCTGTAGAGGTGGGGTCTCACTATGTTGCCCAGGCTGGGCGTCAACACCTGGCTTTGAGCAATCCTCCCACCTCAGCCTCCCAAAGTGCTGGGATTATAAGGCATGAACCACCCTGGACCAGATGAAAAACTTCCACAGAAGACATTTTTTCATACTACATCACAATTGTTCTGAACCGTACTGCTTCTTCTCAAGTAGCCTGACAATGATGTGTTTATTAGGATTGGGGAGTGAATTGTGAGTCCTTATAATTATATTATCTAATTATGTAAGTAATCTTTCTGTCCACTTTTCCTTGGTCCCCAGTTTACCATCTGATCATACCAACCTTTTGTTATTTACACTTTTCCCTGGTCAATAACATGCCATTTTCCATGTTTCTGACAGGTGTCTTATAGTTTTAATTACATTTCCAAACCAGAAAATCTTCTTAAAGAAATTATCTTTAGCCTACATAATGTATTGTTATTCTAAAACCAGGCAGGTGTGCAGCAATAAGCAATGAGTTCCACACTGAATTTACCTTATAGTGGAAAAGCATGATAGCATCTTAAACTAGTCATGATATCCAGAATTCTGGACAGCCACTCATTGTCACCTTTATACAAACATCAAAAACATAACTGACTCAAGACTTTGCTCCAAAACATTCCAAAGCAAGGGCCTTCCCACACAATGCCAAGTGTTCATTATATGAACACTTCAATTAATATGAAAAATTATTCTTCAGAACACATATAAAACTAAATACTCAGATATTTAAAAGTATATGGTATATATAGTACGTACATTCAGAATGTATGAATCAAGCATTTTATAAAGTCTGTTAGTAGTTTATAGAGGGTTTAAAGATATTTTTCCATTGCACAAAAAAGTTAACTCGGAGGAAGTGTACCCAAATCTATAACCTTTACTTTTTTTCCAAACACCCTACTCTGAGAAGCATATAACATTTTCTTTAAAAAAAAAATGGAAAAGCAAGTTTTCAGATAGGAGTGAATGATGTCACACCTATTCTATAGATTCTCTTGTTACTCTTTGAATGCATTCACTATTCAGTGAGTTTGTACATTTTACATTTTGCTCAGAATGTCCGTGTGTGTATGTATGTGTGTTTGTGTGTGTGTATGTGTATATGTGTGTGTGTGTGTGTGTGTGTATAATTGACTGCTCTTTAATAATGTTTAAAAAATAAAAATCAAGTGATCTTAGGTTCTTTAATGTGTCAACTAACCTTTCATGTGGTTGAGTAATGTAGCTTACTATCCCATTTGTAATATTTTATTACCTTTTCCCCTTATTTAGTCATTATTTGAAGCTGATGCTCAAGGTGTTAAAAGTACAAAATTTGAAGGATTAAGAATATTTTAATAAGAAGCATCTGAAAATCATCTTCAGCAAATCAGATGCAGAATGGAAATCTAGTAGTCCTTTCATTACATAACACATCCTCCTGGAATTTGAGGAACTTAGACCAGTATTTCATTAAGGCACGTCTATTAATTTAAGATGAACACATCCCTTAGATATGAACTTTAAAATTTTGAACCATCCTTAAATTGAATTCTTTTTTCAAATACAACCTTAGACTCAAGTAATAAAGAAGAATTGCACCTACACTTAAAGAAAAGCTAACATTTCAGTAGGTGCTGATTTTAATAAGTAAAGGGTTTGTCTACAACAGAAGATGCCAGGTGTGTGACATATTTACATCTATTGAATGCAGCAGTATGTAACTCTTTGGAGGCTTTACATCACAGAACAAAGCCCAACTTTAAGGTTCCTTTACACTGATTTCTTCTCTCAACAAGCCCACATATCCAATAATTACATGGCTTAACACAAACTTTCCAGACTTTAGAATGCTACATGTTATCATCACTATAAATTTAATCTACTTTTCTGATATTTATGATGCAGAAGTTCTCTGTACCTTTCCACTGATTTATGTAAATACTGTAAATTATTTCCTTAAACAAATTTCAGGTAGACTAAAATATCAATCCTACACATTATCCTTTCCAAAACACGTACACTAACGGTGTCTACGCAGACACTCAAAAGAGAACAATACATATAACAATTTGAATTAATAAAACATCTCTGCTATTAATAGAACTGCAGTTCCAATATAGCAAAATATTTGGGTAAAATGATTATATTTAACCACTTTCCTTTAAAGTATTTGCTTCACTTAAGTCTACAGATATCAGCTAGACTTCCCAAAACAGAATTTGAAAACAAATGGAGAAAGAATGAATTGAAAAAAATTAATCTCCAATAGAGCAAATAATATTCCACTATTTGCATAACTAGCTGATTTTGAATATGACAGATAAATGAAAAAAGAAACAAACAAAAATGTTCTGGTCATCCTTACCGAAAGAGAAAACTAACCTGAACTCGCCGTTCTTCTTTGTTTGCATCTACCTTATCAGACATCAGAAGAGGCTCGCTTTTTTCACAGCTCTCTTCACTAAGGAGCGTGTCTGCATAGTTGGGCTGGGGAAAGATCAGGTGACTCTTCCTCGAGTCCGCGGTGAGGGAGACCTCGTTGGAATAGGTCTGCAGGAAAGCCCGAACCCCATCCATGCCCACAAAGTGTGAGGCGGGCACACTCGCCAACCTGCTGCCTTCAGCCTGAAGCAGGCGTGACTTGTGCCAGCGCCTCAGTCTGAGCACCAGCAGCACAATGACAAAGGCCAAGAAGACGCAGGAGACTGCAGCCACTGCCACCACAAGATAGAATGTGAGATCCAAATCCTCAGGGTCAATGGGGGTCTTCATACTGCCAAGGTCAGCAAGGATGTCAGGGATCCTGTCTGCCACGGCCACTGTGACTGTGACGGTGGCTGACAGAGGGGGCTGGCCATGGTCTTCCACGGCCACTATGAGGCTCTGCTTGAGTGCATCTCTGTCCAGCAGGGTCCGCGCTGTCCGCACTTCGCCCGTGTGCAGCCCAACCGCAAAGAGTCCTGGCTCGCTGGCCTTAAGCAGGCGGTAGGATAGCCAGGCATTCTGGCCTGAATCTTTGTCCACTGCTACCACCTTGGTCACCAGGTAGCCAGGTTCTGCGGAGCGGGGCGCCAGCTCCACGCCCGTGGAACCGTCTGTGGGGAGGGTGGGGTACAGGATCTCGGGCGCATTGTCGTTCTGGTCCAGCACAAACAGGCTCAGTGACACGTTGCTGCTAAGTGGAGGGTTCCCATTGTCGCTGGCTGTCACCCACAACTGTAGGTCTCTCAACTGCTCATAATCGAAGGATCTCAGCGCATACAGGACACCGGTGTCAGAGTTAATGGAGACATAGGAGGACAAGGGCGCCCCCTGAAATGTGTCTTCAGCCAGGGAGTAGGTGACTCGAGCATTGTCGCCACTGTCGGGGTCATGGGCTGTCACAGAGAAGATAGAGACACCTCTGGGGTTGTTTTCTGGGAGAGAGGTGGAATAGGAGGCTTGAGGGAAATTGGGTGGGTTGTCATTGACGTCTGCTACTTTCAAGGGGATGTGGTTTTCTGCAGAGAGGGGCGGGGTTCCATGGTCAATGACGGTTAAAGTGATATTATAATCTGAAGTCTCTTCTCTGTCCAGGTTTCTAGTTGTTAATAGGTGATAGTAATTATCAACTGACTTCTCCAGTTTAAAAGGCAAGTTCCTAGGAATAGAGCATGCAATCTCACCATTTTCTCCAGAATCACCATCATGTACACTAAACAGCGCAATTACAGTTCCTGGAAGACAGTCTTCAGAGAGGGAACTGGTCAGAGAGGTGAGGATCACTTCGGGGGCATTGTCATTCACGTCCTGTACTGTGACCACCACCTTAGCGCTGGCAAGAAGAGCGCCTCCATCCTGAGCTACCACTTCCATGAGGTAGAATCTGGATTCTTCATAGTCCAGCGGTTGTAGAGTTGAGATTTCCCCCAGGTTGGAATCAAGATGGAAAGTCTCCGAAATTTTGTCTTCTTCATTGCGAAAAGAGTAGGTCAATTTCCCGTTCATTCCCTCATCTGGATCCGTGGCGGTTAGCGTGAGCAGCCGAGTGCCCACAGGTATGTTCTCCGGAACACTCACGCTGTACTCGGATGGCGTGAACAGGGGTGCATTGTCGTTTGCGTCGAGTACTGTAACACGGATGTGCGTGGTGCCGGAGAGTACCGGGTCTCCGCCATCTAAAGCTGTGAGGAGGAGGTCATGAACAGTCTCTTTCTCGCGGTCTAGGGGCTGTTCCAACACCAGCTCCGGATACTTTTGTCCATCAGTTCCGCTTACCACATCCAGAGAGAAGTGCAGATTGGAGCTGAGCTGGTAACTCCGGAGGGAGTTCACACCCACATCTGCATCCCGCGCGAAGGGAAGCACTAAACGTGTCCCTGCAGCCGCATTTTCATTAACTTTTACTTTTAACTCCTCATCCCGGAAACGCGGGAAGTTATCATTAATATCGATTATTTCTACTTCTACTACATAAATTTTCATTTTGTTCTCAACTAAGATGTTAAAGTTCACCACACACAGCGGGCTCTGAGCGCAGAGCTCCTCCCGGTCTATCCTGCCCGCGGTGACCAAGCTGCCGCTTCGCGGGTTCAGAGCGAAAAGCTGCGTCCTACCTCTGGAGACGATGCGGACTCCGTGCTCCGCCAGCTCCCGGGGCTCCAGCCCAAGGTCCTTGGCGATGTTGCCGACGAAGGAGCCTTTGTCCAGCTCCTCCGGCATCGAGTAGCTGATCTGCCCGGATCCCGGTTGGCACAGCGTCCCCAGGAGCATGAAGGGCAGCAGCAGCTCTCCGCAGGCCCAGCGCCTCGGTGGACTCGCCATTGCCTTCTCTCTGCCCAATTTTCTCTTAGTTCTGGTTCAGCCTGCTGTTTCCTTATTTATCTAAAGCCGATGGGTACATATTCCCCGACGAAAATGGGCGTGGAGCGTTGGCTTTTCGTAGGAGCTTGTCTGGTTTGTGTGTTTAGTATGGAGGGAGCAGAGTCGGGTCGCCTCTGCTGCAGCTCCTTTCCCACTTTGGTCAACAGCGACGCTCAGAGTCCTAACCAGTGACTGCACCAAATTCCATTTTTATTTCTCCTAAGTTTAGTTGTAATTTTATTTCTAATAATGTTGCCATATCCTTAATGTTTAACTGTGTAACATTGTCTATGACTGTTAATTCAGCTTTAATTCTGAAATAGCAAGACTTCCACAATTACTGAGATCAATATTATTAGATTCCAATACCTTACAAAAATTTTATTTAATGTGTCACTGGGGGAGCCTATGTCCTTTATTTACCTCTTACCTATGTTTAGTCCTTTAAATTAGGACATTCAAATTCTTACCTTTGTAGAATTCAAGATTTCATCTCTTTATTAGGATGCATTTAGGAAAACGTGCTTATTTGCACATAAGAATGCCAAGGAAACAAACCCAGTTCTCAATGCACCTTTCCAAACAGGACTACTGATTTATGTAAGTTATATTAGCTGTCATATGCAGAAGAAATACAGATCTTTATTACTTGTGAGGACTTTCAGAAAGTTTCTCCACTATCTCAGACAGTGTTAGAGTAGGGTTAACTATGCATTTTTACGTTTTTCTATTATCATGTTCAAATATTTGTAGTTCCAATGACAATCAGTATAGCAACTGTGGAGGGTGGGGCTTTATTTCATCATCTATGCAGGAAAGCATGACCAGATACTTATTGAGCAGTACTGAGTGGCCTTTCTATGTTGAGACAGTTATTTAGTGCTATCATCTTTATATGACAACAGAAATAGAAAAACCTCTTGATTGAAAAAAATGAACATTTCAGAAAGTCATTTTGTTTAATGACACTTTCATAGAAAACTAAGAAAATAAAAATTCTATATAATTAGGAAATTCAAAAGCAAAGATTTGAGTAATATTTGGTAGAAAATGATGTGAACATAGGTTGTAAGATTTTTCTCAATGTGTAATTTTTCTTAAGAGCAATTTGTTAAAATGCATGTTAGAGAATGCTTTCTCACATTTGTTAAATGCACTCTTTATAGCAGACACCTCAGACCTCAAACATTGCCTATCCTTTAGAAATATGCTTGTGATTCCAAGACACTTAGCTTACCCAGTGTGGGTCTTCAAGTCAACGGGACAATGTCCTACCCATGCCCTGCAATTAACAAGCCATGCCATTATGTAAAAGTCTTTCATCTTTGGTTCCCAATTTCCAAAAACTACTAAAATGAAGACTCTCTTTACTCTGAAGTACTATGATGCTAAGAGGAAGTAAAACAAAAATTTGAATAACAAAGAGCCTGAAGGTGAAAGTAATTGCCTAAAGTCCCAATGGTAACAAATCTTCAGAGAGAAGCAAAGACGAGGAAGAAAAAGAAATACAGTGCAGTATCTCATGTGATAAAGGTTTGCAATTATTGCTAAATAAATCTCACACTTCAGAGAGAAAACACTTAAAATTAAGTTAAATAAGAGTAAGATAATTAAGGCACAACATTGACCAAATCTAACTCACAGACAAAGAAATTGCAATGGAACTTCCTACCCAAATTAGGTGAAACAATAAAACCAGAAGTGAAAATAAATTAATTAAAGCTCACCTTTAAAATAGTATCTGAGGCAAAAGGGACCCCAGCGTCTGCATGATTTGTATTTTGTTCCCAAGAGGCATTGTCACAGAGGAGATCTTGTGAGGGAACCAATTCCGGGGTTACGTTCAGAAAATTAAACTCTGTCTTGGCTGATTGTGAGGCAACACACAGGTTGTAGGAAAAGGGCAATGTTCCCTCACTGTAATTGGGGAGAACCCCAGGTCCAGGCTTGGAGCACTGACTAGACTGAAAGCAGCCCCAAGCGTCTGAACTGGAAGAGCGGCGCAGGCGCAGGGAGATTGCCAGAATCACTGCGAAGAGGAAGAGCACTGAGATCAAGGCCAAGGCCACCACCAGGTAAAACTGCAGTTCCGTCTGGGGGTCAGAGGGCTCAGGGCTGCCGCTAAGGTCTGGCAATACCTCTTGCAGGCTATCCGCGAAGATTAGGTGCAGCGTGGCGGTGGCGGAGAGTGGCGGCTGTCCTCCATCACGCACAGCGACCAGCAGGCGCTGGCGGGCCGCGTCCCTCTCGCCCAAGGCACGCGCTGTGCGCACCTCACCCGTGCGCAGCCCCAGGCTGAAGAGCCCGGGCTCGCTGGCCTGCAGCACGTGGTAGGACAGCCAAGCGTTGTGTCCCGAGTCTGCGTCCACCGCCACCACCTTGGTCACTAGGTAGCCGGGCTCTGCTGCGCGTGGCACCATATCGAAGAGGGCGGAGCCATCGGGCCCCAGCGCGGGGTACAACACCAGTGGCACATTGTCATTGAGGTCGCCCACTAACACGCGCAGGCTCACGTTGGCGCTGAGCGCAGGTGAGCCCTGGTCGGTGGCCTGCAGTGTGAGTTCGAAGGCGCGCAGCTGCTCATGATCGAAGGCGCGCTGCGCGAACACCACCCCGCTCTGCGCGCTCACGGACACGTAGGATAAAATCTCCCGCGGCTCCAGGTCGCTCGCTACGATGGAGTAGGAAACTTGGCCATTGGGGCCCAAGTCAGGGTCAGAGGCACTGATTTGAGCGATAGAGGCGCCAGGAGGATTGTTCTCTGCCACGTGAACCATGTAGCAAGTCTGTTGGAAAAGTGGGGCATTATCGTTGACGTCGGAGATGTGCAGGGTGACAATTATGCTGGAGGAGAGAGGCGGCTTGCCCCCGTCGGTGGCTGTGATGGTGAGATTGTATTCTGGGATCTCCTCCCGGTCCAGGGCGCCGTCTGTCATTAGTTTGTAATAGTTCTTTGAGGAAGATTTCAAAATAAACTTGGCATTTCCCAACACTTGGCAGTAAACTTCTCCATTTTCTCCAGAGTCTCTGTCTCTCGTTTTTATCAAGGCGATGACTGTTCCTGGTGGCGAATCCTCTGGTAGGGGAGTAAATACTGAAGTCACAATAACTTCAGGTGCACAATCATTCTCATCAAGAATTTCAACTTGGATACTGCAGTGGGCTGCTAGATCTCCAGGATCTTTTGCTTCAATACTCAGAGTGTAACTACTTGCAATCTCAAAATCCAAATCATCCTTTGTCGTGATTTCTCCTGTTTTTTCATTTAAGTTGAAAAAGCGTTTGACTTGTTCGTCCACATTATGAAAGGAGTAGGTGATTTCCGCGTTTATGCCCTCATCCCGGTCAGTGGCCGTCACTTGAAGCACAAAGAAGCCCGGGGGCACGTCCTCCCTCAGGGTGACCCTGTACACATCCTGGCTGAACACCGGAGGGTTATCATTGGCATCCGTGACTTGGATTCGGATTTGGGTCGTGCCGCTTTGAGGTGGGTCTCCGCCATCCACAGCTGTGAGGACCAGTTGATGGAAACTATGCTCTTCTCTGTCCAGAGAATGTTTTAGAATCAGCTCAGGATATTTACGTCCATCTGGAGTCTGTTTCTCAGCGAGATCAAAGTACTCGTTGTCATTAAGGTGGTATCTTTGTAGTGAATTAGGACCAACATCTGAATCCAGGGCTGGGTCAAGTGGAAATGTTGTACCTGGCTTAGTGGATTCGCCAATTTTTAAATGAATCTTACTCTGTTTGAATAGTGGGGTATTATCATTTATATCCTGCACAATTACTGCTATGTGGAAAATATTTAGTGGGTTTTCAGCGACAGTATCGAAATCCAGAACACACAGAGGCTGCTTCCCGCATATCTGCTCTCGGTCTATTTTGTCACCCACAAGTAAGTCCCCGCTTTCTGGGTTTACTGTGAAATATTCCCTCTCTGCGCTAACCCGCAGCTTCCGGGCAGGCAAGTCCCGGACGCTGAGCCCCAGATCCTTGGCGAGGTTTCCTACGACAGAGTTTTTGGCCAGCTCCTCTGGAATTGAATAGCGGATCTGGTCTGAGAGAGCCCCGGGGAACAAAGACAACAGGAAGGGCAACAGTACCTGCAGCCACCACACCAGCCCGTACCTCCCTGCGCTCGCCTTCATCTTCTGTCTCCCTCGGGCTCCCTGTGCTCCTTTGCCCATAGGAGGAATAAGCCTTCCGAGGATGGCAGAATCCGGGCTCAGGTCACTTTTCCTGCTTTTGTTTTCTGTTTCCGAATCTACACTGGCCTCCTCTGCGTGGTTGGTTTGTGCAGGAAGTTCCCTTCTAAGAGGCTCCCAAAAGCTTCTCTGGATCTTCTCTTCGTTCTTTTGACCGACAGCGACGCTCAGAGGTTTTCTCAGGAAACTGCACCAACGGCTTGTAAATGTTTGCTAAGAACATTTTTCTTTTCTTCTTCTTTTTTTTTTTTAATTTATAAAGTCTTCATTTGTTTTTAAATATGCGAAATATTCATATAGTTCCAAATTCAAAAGGTGCATTCATCCCTGCTTTAGATGAGGAGAATTGCTTTCACAGGGGAAATGAGTGTTAACGTTTCTTGGGTATCCTTCTGGAGATATGTTTTACATAGTGCAACGGATTTGTATAAATATTCTGTCTCCTTCTTTACACAAATGTAAGCATACAACATACCATGTTCTTCACATTGCTTTTATATTTGTTATATCTTAAAGATCATATCAGTACACAGAGAGCTTTCCCATTTATTTTTATAGTTATCTAGTGGCCCATAATATAGTTATCTAGTAGTCCATAATATGAATATACAACAATTTGTTTAGTCAACATTGTTATTTACTAAAAGAAACTCACTGCCCATTCTAACAAAAACACATTTTTTAAAAAATTTGATTTTAGGTTATAAATTATCTACTGCTTTCCTAGGCCTTTAAAACGTATGGCACTCTCATTCTGGAACATATTCCTAATGCCAACACCTGAATATGCTTGACACAGTTTCAGGCCAATTGAGCATTTCCAAATTATATTTTATGGCTTAATTACTTTAAACAATCTCTCCTCAGATGTGAGTTGTCTCTCAACATTCACTTGTTATTTCTGCTTTCTGCTTACCAACCTAGGTAACTGCATATCATATTCCAGCTTACTCTACATATTGCACCACAACTTTCTATGAATACAAAACCATGTAGAAACTAAAACTCTCCTTTGTAAATCAAATTGAGGCATATTCCACAGTCTATCACTACAACTTCCAGTTATCAAATTACACTAATTTGTGTAAGCATATGCATTCATGAATTTTGAATTAACTCACAGAACTAAATGAAAGCACAAAGAACAAAAGTGTTGTATATCCCCTACACACAAAATATTTTCCCACATATAAAATAATCCCAGAGCCACATGGTGACAGAAATATCTGATAGCAATTTGTAGCAATAGGGATGAGGCCAACTTACTAAGCAGCATAAATCATATCAGTCCAGAACCCCAGTAACTCAACCTTTGAAAGAGGCTCACATGATGAAAAGAGAAAAGACTCCAAAAACTTATATTTTTCCTTAGAAATCAAGAAAGTCTCGCCTTTTCACAAGATGGCACCAAAAGCGAAGAAGGAAGCTCCTGTCCCTCCTAAAGCCGAAGCCAAAGCGAAGGCTTTAAAGGCCAAGAAGGCAGTGTTGAAAGGTGTCCACAGCCACAAAAAAAAAGAAGACCCACACGTCACCTACCTTCCGGCGGCTCAAGACACTGCGACTCCAGAGACAGCCCAAATATCCTCGGAAGAGCGCCCCGAGGAGAAACAAGCTTGACCACTATGCTATCATCAAGTTTCCGCTAACCACTGAGTCTACTATGAAGAAGATAGAAGACTACAACACACTTGTGTTCATTGTGGATGTTAAAGCCAACAAGCACCAGATTAAACAGGCTGTGAAGAAGCTCTATGACATTGATGTGGTCAAGGTCAACACCCTGATTCGGCCTGATGGAGAGAAAAAGGCATATGTTTGACTGGCTCCTGATTATGATGCTTTGGATGTTGCCAACAAAATTGGGATCATCTAAACTGAGTCCAGCTGCCTAATTCTAAATATATATATATATATATATATCTTTTCAACAACAACAACAACAAAAGAAATCAAGAAAGTCCCAATAGTGATGTCATGATAGGCAATTTAAAAATTATTAAAGTTACTTCTAGAATCTACTTAAATATGAGTGAAATTAACTTTGAAATATTTCTCATAATCACAAGAGTGCACCAAAGGAATCACGTATAGTCACCGCTGGTGCATCTCAGAACAGCAACAAGAAAATATTTGAAATGTAACAGTTCATTGAGAAAATATCCTGTTAAAGTTATATCTAAAAGTTAAACTCATAAGTTTTCAGTATTCTTAAATTGATGTTGCCTATTACAATGCAAAATACCCTTTCAAGGAAGGAAAAGTAAACTTCAAGTAAAGCATGGTACAGTGTAAAAATAGGAAATTAAAAAATCCTCAGTCCAGATCCAATAATAACTTCATGAGAAAGAATATTGTAAACCTGAATTTACACAATTGCCTTCTATTTCACAGGTCTCTTGTATCTTTGCAGTAACACCTAAAGGAAAAGGAAATTTATTCTTTATTTTATTTTACTTTATTTTATTTTACTTCTTGGAGACAGAGGCTTGCTCTGTCACCCAGGCTGGAGTACAGTGGCATGATCTCAGCTCATTGCAACCTCTGCCTCCCAGGTTCCAGCAATTCTCATGTCTCAGCCTCCAGGGTAGCTGGGACTACAGGCGTGCACCACCACGCCCGGCTAACTTTTTGTATTTTAGTAGAGACTGGGTTTCACCATGTTGCCTGGACTGGTCTCAAACTCCTGAGCTCAGGCAATCCACCCTCCTCACACTCCCAAAGTGCTAGGATTACAGGTGTGAGCCACCGCACCCAGCACAGAAAAGGACATTTAAGGAAATGAGGTGGTTTAGAGTTGTAAAATTAGAAAATTCTGGCTGAAACTACAACTGAATGAAGACCAAAAAGGATAATAAACAACATTTTTGTGTGGTAAAGACTGTTGGTCATTACTGAAGGGTCATCCACCAGTTCTCTTTACAGCAATAAAATATTAAAAGAGGCACCTTTATTTGATATATTACATATGTAATAGGAGACATTTACACAACTCTTTGTCTATATTTCAGTGTGGTATGATCTATTATAAGATTGACTCACCTGAAGATTAAGGTCTCCTTTTGTTTCAAGTAAATCCTGAGTTATCAGAAGAGGCTCGCTTTTCTCACAGCTCTCCTGGCTGATGAGCGTGTCTGCATAGTTGGGCTGGGGGAAGATCAGATGACTCTTCCTCGAGTCCGCGGTGAGGGAGACCTCGTGGGAGTAGGTCTGCAGGAAAGCCCGAACCCCGTCCACGCCCACAAAGTGCGAGGCAGGCACACCTGCCAACCTGCTGCCTTCAGCGTGAAGCAGGCGTGACTTGTGCCAGCGTCTCAGCTTGAGTGCTAGCAGCACCGTGACAAAAGCCAGGAAGATGCAGGAGACAGCGGCCACTGCCACCACGAGATAGAGTGTGAGGCCCGAGTCATCTGGGTCTGCTGAAGGCTTGAGGCTGCCCAAGTCAGCCAGGACATCTGGGATGCTGTTGGCCACAGCCACAGTGAGTGTGACAGTGGCCGAGAGAGGGGGCTGGCCATGGTCCTGGACGACCACTACAAGGCTCTGCTTGAGCGCATCTCTGTCCAGCAGGGCCCGTGCAGTGCGCACCTCACCTGTGTGCAGCCCCACTGCAAATAGTCCCGGCTCGCTGGCCTTGAGTAGGCGGTAGGACAGCCAGGCATTCTGGCCTGAGTCTCTGTCCACTGCCACCACTTTGGTCACCAGGTAGCCGGAATCTGCGGAGCGGGGTGCCAGCTCCACACCAGTGGAGCCATCTGTAGGGAAGGTGGGGTACAGGATCTCAGGGACATTGTCGTTCTGGTCCAGCACAAAGAGGCTCACTGACACATTGCTGCTGAGTGGAGGGTCTCCACTGTCACTGGCTGTCACCAGTAGCTGCAGGTCTCTAAGCTGCTCATAGTCGAAGGAGCGAAGTGCATATAGGATCCCAGTATTGGAGTTGATGGAGACATAGGAGGACAGGGGTGCATCCTGGAAGGTGTCTTCGGCCAGGGAGTAAGTGATTAGGGCATTGTCACCACTGTCAGGGTCTTGAGCAGTCATAGATAAGATGGAGGCTCCTCTGGGGTTGTTTTCAGGAATGTAGGCAGAGTAGGAAGCATGAGGGAAAGTAGGTGGGTTGTCATTGATGTCCATCACCTGCAGTGAAATATGAGTTTCTGTAGACAGTGGAGGAATTCCCTGGTCAGTTGCAGTTACAGTGATGTTATATTCTGAGACTTCTTCCCTGTCCAGTGTTCTGTGTGTCAACAACCGATAATAATTTTCATAGGTCTTTTCAAGTGTGAATGGCAGATTATCTGGAATAGAACATGTGACTAGGCCATTTCCTCCTGAGTCACTGTCATGCACGTTGAAAAGTGCAATTACTGTACCCGGGGAAGAAGTTTCCTGGACTGAGCTGGTGAGAGATGTAACTGTGACTTCTGGTGCGTTGTCATTTTCATCCAGAACTGTCACCAGTACCTTGCTTCTAGCCCGGAGACCAGGCCCATCATGGGCTTCTACATCTATGTCATAGAATCCAGAGTCCTCATAATCTAGATCCCCCAATATTGTTATATCCCCACTCAGAGAATTTAACTGAAATAGCTGTGATATTTTGTCTCTTACTTTCCGGAAAGAATACGTCACGTCTCCATTGGCTCCTTCATCTGGATCAGTGGCTTTTACGGTGAGTAGCCGAGTGCCTACAGGAACGTTCTCACGAACACTTACGTGGTACTTGGGCTGAGTGAACAGGGGAGCATTATCGTTGGTATCCACAAGTATTATGAGAATCCTGGCAGTGCCAGAGCGAACCGGGTCACCTCCGTCGAAGGCGGTGAGAACGAGGTGGTGAACCGCCTCTTCCTCGCGATCTAGAGCACGTTCCAGCACCAGCTCTGGGTACTTAATCCCATCGGCCCCGCTTTGCACGTCCAGGGAAAAGTAACCGTTTGAGTTGAGCTGGTAACCCTGCAGGCAGTTTACCCCTACATCCGGATCAAAAGCTTCAGGAAGAGGAAATCTTGTCCCAGGATTTTCATTTTCAGCAACTTTTATTTCCCTCTGTTCTGCCCCAAAACTGGGTGGGTTATCATTAACATCGATTATTTCCACCTCTACCCGCAAAATCTTCACTGTATCTTCTAGGAGAATCTCCAGTATTGTCACACAGTTTGGAGATCTGTCGCAAAGCTCCTCCCGGTCTATCCTACCCGCGGTGACCAAACTGCCGCTGCGCGGGTTCAGGGCGAAAAGCTGCGTCCTACCTCTGGAGACGATGCGGACTCCGCGCTCCACCAGCTCCCGGGGCGCCAACCCCAGGTCCTTGGCGATGTTGCCCACCACTGAGCCTTCTTCCTGCTCCTCAAACACCGAGTAGCGGATCTGTTCGGCCCTAATTTCCCCCAGAACCCCCAGGAGAAGGCAGATTTGGAGCAGCCGGGTGCGGTCTGGGCTAGCAGGAGGCGCCGCCATTACAACCCCGCCGCGGAGTCGCCTGTGCTTTGGTTTTCCCTCTGTCGAGGCCTGAGGAGCCCCAGGATATTCTGGGTCCAAAATAAAGTGCATTCACAGCCGGAGCTCTCAGGGCTTCCGCTTGAAGCTTTCATAAAGCTCCAGAGCCAGTGCTTTGTGCTGCAGCAATCTTGTGATTCTGATTAAATTTCTGGTTTGTCTTTTCCCCCGATTGGTGAACAGCGACACCCAGAGTCTAAACCTGTTACTGCAATTTATTCTTGGTAAAAAAAGTTTACTTTTTATACACGTTTTCTATTCCTATTTCTCCCAAGATAATAAAAGTCAAATTCCTGTTTTTGATTTGCAACGAAAATTCAAGAATGATCCAAATCTTCCTGTACAATAAACTTTATAAAGTTATTTATTTTCTTAGAGAAAATATGACGATTTTTTTTTCTAAGAATGTGTTCTCCATCTTTTCAGTTTTCATCTTGTTCATCCCCACAGCCCATTCTCAGTACTGTGTACTGTGTGAGGGACATACTTATCTCTCCTAAAGAGAAAGGTGGACTTGAAAAATGGAGGAGACGATAAGTGAAAAGACAGTGGGACAGGAACTTGGAGGTTCGGCTTTAGTCCCAATTTATGCAGTAACAAGTTTCCTTACTTGAGTTGACCCTCTAGAACCTGGGGCAATGCTTCAATTCATTTGCAAAAAACCCACCTACTGTTTAAGAGTTAGCCTTACCCCTGTACGAATGAGAGTGACAAATACAATAATAGGTTTGGGAAGAGAATTTGCTTCTTAATTTTGTATACAATACATTCTTGGCCACAAGCTATGCATATGACTATCTTGTTTACAATGTGTTCTCAATCTTTAGAACAATACCTTTCATAGAGTAGTAACTTTTTAATGAAGCCTTTCAATGTTTCATGAATGACCGGTTCAAATGCAAAGCCTAAAACAATGGATAAATAACTCTGATCTTAAAAATAAAAAAGAAATAAAAAGAAAAGTTAGACTGAAGAACTATAAAGTGCAGATAATAGTTTAGTAATTTTTTCACATGACACATTCAGTATTATTTTACTACAATTTCTAACTTTACTTTAGCTTTCACTTTAGAAATAGCCAGTAAAATGAAATGTTTTGGTAGCTGAACATGGATTATCATTGCACGTGCCATCGCTTTCTTGCTTATGAATACTTACAGTAATTTACTAATCTGAG